TAAATACGAGTACCATATCATATATTTTCATAACATAAAATAATTACATTGCTACTATTGACTAGTCTATTAAAATGTCGCTGTGGATATGGGCAGTGTAAATACTGATCTTGTGAGACCCCACGTTGGTTGAAGAGGAAAATGAAGTATTTCTTACAAAAGTGTGAAAATCTCTCTAGTAGACGTGTTTTAAAACTGTGAGACTAACGACAATACATAACACGCCAATATCTGCTAGCTGTGGGGTTGGGCTGTTATGAATGGTATTAGAGTCGGGCATCGAATGATATGCCAGTGAGGACGTTGGGCTTTCAAGGTGGAGGATTATGAGATCTCACATTGATTAGAGAGGGGAGTTAAACATTTTTTATGAACATGTGAAAACTTTTTCTTGCTAGACGTGTGTCAAAACTGTGAGATTGATGACCTATGAGTCGTGGGTACGAGATATTTTTAAAATTTCGTCATTTACGTTATTACCCTTATAGTAATTGGGTAGATTTTGTTTATAATATGAGATAGGATGAGTGATTGGAAAGGCTAAATGAGGAAATTAAGGGTAAGGAAGCTTTTAGGTATTTGATTAAGCAACTCTTTTCCTTGCTCCAATTCCCTTCCCACGCCGTTTCCCCACGACTTCAATTTCTTTGTTGCATCATAAATTCATACAAATAATCCTATCATTTTAAAATAAAATTCCAAATTTGCCCTTGCTCGCATCATCCAAGAAGAAAGGACAAGGCAAGCAACCCATCTGAACTTAAAATCAACTAATTTTAATACACGTGTCCATTTAACCTACAGGGCCAAAACTCCACAAAGAATCGAGAGGGAGCGGGAAAGAATTTCTTCCTGTTCACTAAACAGGGTTGGAGATAAAAATTACATTATCAAATCGAAGACGAGATCAGAGAAGACTTTTCCATTTCTGTCTAATATCGTGAACATCTCTAGATCCGAGATATATGTTGTCATTTTATCATACCAAGTACTCATCTCAAAAGGGTAGGAAGAAAATGCATGAAAAGAAACAATTAGTTCTCTTATAAAGACCGATAATATTATTTTTTTCTAATTCGACGCTACAATTTACGCACTATCATCCAAATACGAACTTCTTTTGCAAGTTACCATCATTCCACGACTCGTCGGTGACATGGACGTACAACCGAAATTCGTGTATCAACAAAGATACAAAAATTCATAATACTAATTTAGATAAGTTTGTACAAAGTAAATAAAATGACAAAGAGATGATATGATAGTGGAAGATAAATTATTGAAAGTGAAAGGCCTTAGTGAGAGCACAAAGCAATGGTTTTGATACTCAAATCAACGGACGAATTCAGCCGCCAGACAATCCAACGACAGGAAAAAAAAAACAGGGAGAGCCGTGGTTATGTTTTATTATAATTATTCATCACGCTTACGTGTACGGTGCTTAAATTTTAACACATAACTAATTAATATTATGTTTTATAACATATTATACATTAAAAGAAAAAAAGCCAGGCTGTAAAGCGAAGAAAAGAGGTGACGTGGATATGCGTTTATTTATACGACTGTTGGTGATAAGCAAGAGTTTTTTTTTTTTAATAAATGCGAACGCTTTTCTATGGCATTTTGTAAATATTTATAAAAAGATCCAAGGTCGCTTATCAAACACTGCCCGGTGCCCCTACCCCACATAGGACAGGACATGTACTGACCTGACCACTGACCTAGAACGTGAGCGTACGACACGGACAGCCTTCAAGATTCCAACACTCAACTAATTAAACAACTTTACGTCATAACCCCCAAACTTTCTTTAATTTACCTTTTTAGTCCATTTGTTTTATACGGGAAAAAGAATATTCTTTTTTTTTTTTTTTTGTTAGTAAATTTATCCAATTTTACCTTATAATTAAATTAATATTATAATATTAACTTTAAATTTTTACCTTTTCAAATTGATACAATTTGATAAGTTTGTAAGGAAGGATAAAATTTGGGATAAATATCTAAATTTAAAGTTTAATTTGATAGAAGACATTTTATTTTATTTTGTTTTATGGTAATGGTAAAAAAGTTCGAACATTAGATTGGTAAAAATATAATAATTTTAAGTTTATATCATATCTTAGGTTTTAAAGTTTTTTATTTTTTTTTTTATTTTTTTGTTAACTAGCACATGGGAGGGTCCACGTCATTTTGAAATTAGAATTATTATTTTAGTTCCAATTTTTTTTTTTGGAATTATATAATTGAAAAATAGAACATAAATAGAATATTCTAAAGGTATATTTTCATTCCATTAGTATAAACTAATAGTTTAGAAAATTAAGAACTTAGTTGTATTTGCAACAAGCCCACCACTAACAAACATGGTCTGTTTTGATATGTTATGTATCGTCATTAGCTTTACGATTTTAAAACGTGATTACTATAGAAAGGGTCTTGCTAAACACTAAGCGTTGTGTCAGTGAGGACACTGGACATCTAAGGAAGTATATTATGAGATTTCACATCGATTAAAGAGGAAAACAAAATATTTCTTATAAGGGTGTGGAAACCTCTCTCTACACGTTTTAAAACTTTGAGATTAAGCCAAAAAGAGAAAATTTAAAGAGTGTAATATGTGCTAGTAGTGAGGTTGGACGGTTACATTAGTAGATGATTATTGAATTATAAATTATTTCATTGACACCCAGATAAAAATGTACGATATATATTCGAGTAAGAGTAATCTAAAGAACGGGAGACCAAGAAATGCAATGAATTGAAAATTGCTATCTAAAAACTATTATTTTAAATCCTAAATTAATTTTTTTTTTTTTTTTTTTGACGGAAAGTACACTCAATCTGACATTTCCAAAACCTTAATGGAGTCGCCTTAAGGAACTGGAAAAGACTATTTCACCCTTAAGACATGGTGGGCCCAAAATCCTCGTCCAATTTTCTGCGTTTGAATTATTATAAAAATAATAAATTGAGAAAATGCTAGATTTATTGAAAATAGTAACCTACAAATAGACAACTTGCAAGAGCTTGAAATAATTAATTATTAAAAAATTAACGATGGCCCACTTTTTAAGTACAAATTGAAATAAAGGTATTATATTTTTTATATTTTTTAAAAAATTTAAAGGTATTATTGAAATTTTTAACCGATATTTTAGATAAAATACTTTTTTTAGATAAATACAAAATTTAAGATATTTTTATTAATGTAGTACTTTTAATAAAAAAAACTTGTTTTTTCAGTCAATTATTATTTTTATCTAAGGTTATATAAGTAAATATATATATTTTTTATTTGAAAGTAATTAAATAATAAAAATATATATATTAGGTTGTAGTGTGAGCGTGCCCATCGCTCCACATGAAAACGCGGCCAACAGCATTAGAAATACAACCAATTGACTTGTTCTATCCTTATTTATTTATTTATTTCTTAATTACAAAAAATAAAATAAAAAATTGTAACCCAAAATCAAAACTGTGGACACCCCGCGTTTCGCCGCCGAAATTTAACAAACGCTTTCAATTGCAACTTGAAAGCAATTTTTTCTTTTTCTTTTTAGTCCTCCAAATTTTCAAAAATAATAAAAAGACCCTTCTTAAAACCATTTTACTCGAGCAATCTCCCCTCCAAAAAATACAAGTGATTTCTTATGAGACCTCACATTAGTTGGAAAGGAGAACGAAATATTTATTATGAAAGTGGAAAATCTCACCCTAAAGACGCATTTTAAAACCATATATAAATAATGGGTCATAATAGGTTAAACTAAACAATATAGACTAATAGTTGGTTTCTTTAAGATAATACGTAACATACTAAAGTAAATAATATCTCCCGCAGTTGAATAAAGATATATATATATATATATATATTTAAATTCATGAATATTATTAAAACAAGTCTTCTAAAATATATATCGCATAATTGTTTCATTTTTAGTCTTTTTCTTATACATAAATATAAAAAAATCTGGAAATTAGACATAAATATCCAGAATTTAATTAAACGTTTTTTTTTTATTTCCAACGTTTAATTTTAAAAATATGTATTTATAGCAAATACATTGGTTTATAAAAATGGCTGTATTTTTGAATTTGATTATTTGGGGAGAATGACACCAAATCAAAATATACCAAAAATAATATTTATTTTAAAGTTAATACCCTTGATTTACTTGCAAATTTCAATTTTTATCATTTTTCAAAAACATTAATTTTACTTCAACTTAAATTTAAATTTAGTATAAATAAAATTGTTTTTTGAAAATAAAAAATACATATCTAAATAAGAGAAAAAAATAAAACCCAATAAATTATAAAAATTCATCTTCCATATAAAATTAGTTTCAATTTTTTCCATAATTTTTGAAATTTTTAAAACTTTTTAAATATGTTAATTATAATGGAATATTTAACCGAAATTATTAGTAGGTAAGTTATTCGTAGATGCCATTTAAAACTTGGAGAAAATTTTTTATTTTTTTTTTAAAAAAGATAATACTTATCGGTGGTTGGGCTAAGATGTTACAATGGAGCCATTTCGAGGAAAAAAATTGATTTTGTTTAAAAAAAAAGATAATATCGACCCGTGGTTGGGCTAAGATATTACAATAGAGCCAGACACTAGTCAGTGTGCTAGCGAGGAAGGTGACCCCAAGTGGTGGGCTGTGAGAACTCATGTCAGTTCAAAAGAGGGAACGAAACAACCTCTCACCAAGAAATGCTTTTAAAATTGTTAGACGGATAGTAATGCATAAAAGGTAAAAGTGGATAATATATACTAACAGTGAGTCTGAGATATCTCAATCCAACCCGACCCACTAATAAAAACTCGGGGACCACTGGAGGGTTCCAAGATGTTACCCACAACTTGGAGGTCATCTTAAAAGACAGCAAAAAGGAGAAAAAGGGGAAAAAAAAGAATTCCCAAAAAAGAAAAAGAAAAAAGAAAATGGAATTTATTTTATAAATACCAAAAAGAACATCAGAGTGAAGCATTCAAAATCTCTTTAAAAACTCGATAACATCTCTTCCCTCTGCCATTCAATTCCTTTCCTCTGCAATCAAATTAATTAATGGGTTCTTCAAAGCTGCCTCCTTCCACGACGGTGCTAAAATGGCTGGGATTTGTCTCCGCCGTCTGGATTCAAGCCATTTCCGGCAACAACTACACCTTCTCCAACTACTCCGACGCCCTCAAATCTCTCATGAATCTCACCCAACTTCAGCTCAACAATCTCTCCGTCGCTAAAGATGTCGGTAAAGCCTTCGGTCTTCTCGCCGGAATCGCCTCTGATCGGTTCCCCACATGGGTCATCTTGCTCATCGGATCCCTTGAAGGTCTCATTGGCTATGGCGCTCAATGGCTCGTCGTTAGCCAGAGAATTTCCCCTCTTCCTTACTGGCAGGTATTTCTCTTTACAATGAATTTGAATTACTTCTTGATTGCGTAGCGGTTTCAATTTCACTGAAAAACATGGTGTCCGTTGAAACAGATGTGTTTCTTTCTGTGTTTGGGCGGAAACAGCACCACGTGGATGAACACGGCGGTTCTGGTGACCTGTATCAGAAACTTCCGGAAGAATCGCGGCCCGGTTTCCGGTATTCTCAAAGGCTATGTGGGCCTCAGTACCGCCATTTTCACCGATCTCTGTACTGCTCTGTTTTCCGATGACCCATCTTCCTTCCTCGTCATGCTCGCCGTCGTCCCCTTTGCCGTCTGTCTCTTCGCCATGTTCTTCCTCCGTGAGATTCCGTCTACAGCAACCGCCAATGCCCAAGAAGAGTCCAGTTTCTTCGCCGTCTTCAACGCCCTCGCCGTCGTCGTCGCCGTCTATCTCTTAGGCTTTGATTTCATCAAAAACTCGGGCAAAGTCGTTTCCCAGTTGTTCTCTGTCGGATTATTGATTCTCCTCGGATCCCCTTTGGTTATCCCGATTTACTCGTTTTTCAAGAGCTGGAATTCGAATCAAACCCAATTGGATTTAGAGGCTAAAATTGAGGAGCCATTGCTTAAGGAAGAAGCCTTGGCGGCGGCTGAACAGAGTACGGTGGCGAAGGAGGAAGAAATAGCAGAGGAGAGAACACCGCCGGTGATCGGCGAAGAACACACGATTTTTGAAGCGATGAAAACGGTGGATTTCTGGGTTTTGTTCGTGTCGTTTCTCTGCGGCGTGGGGACAGGATTGGCGGTGATGAACAACATGGGTCAGATCGGATTAGCTCTTGGTTACGCCGATGTTTCCATGTTCGTTTCTCTGACAAGCATCTGGGGCTTTTTCGGCCGTATTCTCGCCGGCACAATTTCCGAGCACTTTCTCAAGTAAGTTTCCGATTTCCAAACCGACAAGATTCAAATTCAATCCGACAAATCTAACAGAATCTTTATAAACATTTCAGAAAATCCGGCACACCGAGGCCTCTATGGAACGCGGCATCTCAAATTCTAATGACAATTGGATACATTCTAATGGCAATGGCAATGCCGGGGTCTCTCTACATCGGTTCGATGGTCGTCGGGATTTGCTACGGCGTACGTCTCTCCATCACCGTCCCCACCGCGTCGGAGCTCTTCGGGCTCAAATACTACGGTCTAATTTACAACATTCTGATCCTCAACCTCCCGATCGGTTCGTTCCTGTTCTCGGGGCTCCTCGCCGGGTTCCTCTACGACATGGAGGCGACACCAAACCCGGGCGGCGGGAACACGTGCATCGGCGGGCATTGTTACAGAATTGTGTTCGTTGTGATGGCTTTAGCTTGTGTGATTGGGTTTGTTTTGGACATTTGGTTGGCGTTTAGAACCAAGGTGCTTTATTCAAAGCTGAAAGCCAACAAGAAATCAAACAAGGGGAGCTCTTAGAGTGGGATGGTTTGGTAAATTGGTGGATTGATGGGAATTTTTACCCAATGACATCCCCCAATTTTTTTTTATTTTATATTATTTTGTCATTCTAGTTTGGAAATTATTATTATTATTATTATTAGTTTTATTGTTTAATTAATGTAACAAATTATCTAATTTTATTATATAAATTTTCAAGTTTGTATTTATTTAATTTTAAAAAATAAATTTGCAACTTATTAGACACAAAATTATAAGTTGAGAGACACTTAATGATTTAATTAGTTTACGTGGACGGAGGGATAGGATGGTCCAATGGGAGGAAAATGTAAAAAAATCTATTTGGGCTTTCATGAGTTTAGGGCACAAAAATCTTGGACTCTTGGGCTCGACCCAATACTCTTTTCAAAACCCTAAACTCTTGTCATGACAATAACTACTTTAAGCAGAGAAGAATGTTACAGTCATACTATGAAAAGAGTAGATTGTCACCCTCACATAGCGATAGACAAGGTCGAGCTAGGTGACTTGGCCTAGTATAGAGGACAAGTTAGTTAAGGTTGTAGACGATTGATGCTGCATAATTGAAAATGTACGACCGTAACAACAAGCATTACATTGTTGTTAGGTGGCATCGAAAGTCAACGCTATAATCTTCACACCCCTCTTGGTGGGGTTCGGCCTCAAATTTGGTCTTCCTTTCCCATTTTACATCACCAAAACCCATCAAATTCTGACCTATTTTAATTTGACCCACCACTAACAAATATTTTTTTGGGCTTTCTCTTATGATTTTAAAACGCAGTCTATTAAGAAAGGTTTTCATATCCTTATAAATGATGTTTTACTCTTCTACCCAACCAATGTGGGACATCATAATCTACCCCTATGGGCCCAGCGTTCTCGTTGACACTCGTTCATTTCTCCAATCGATGTAAGTCCTCACCAAATCCACCCCTTTGAGGTCCAACGTTCTTATTGAGACACTGTCTCGTATCTATCCTTCTAGAGAACATGCTCCTTTTTAAGATTTTTGAAATTTATAATAATAATGAAATAATTTTTTAATAATTTATTTAATCATTAAAAAAATTGGAAGACGAATCTATAAAGAATTATTTTTTTATGTTGAAAAACCCTAAGAACAAAAAAACATGACATTTTATAAAGCGAAAGTGGGCAGTTGATTAATAATGAGCTGTCCAATCATATCAGCCAAGTGGGCTCTCAATTTATTGTAGAATCAATTTAATTAATTTTTATTTAAAAAATCGATGCTTATCCGTACAAATTAATATTTTACTCGACTACCAATTTATCTCCTACCCTCCTTCTCCTTTTGCCACGTGTTCATCTTTAATGGATTTTTTCCTTTTCCTTTGGAGAATTATTCTCCGTTATTAATCAACTAAAATTATTCTATAATGATATATATATATATATATATATATATATATATATATATATATTGGTAATATATTTTAATTAAATACGAATATAAATTTATTTATTTATTTTTACTTTAAAAATGAACAATATAATATATTTTCTACCTACATCGTTAGCTTTTTTAAACGAAGGCTTTTCTTAGATATGAAAAATACGAACGAGTAAGTCGTATTGTTTGATTAGCACGTAGATGAAGACGGCGATAAATCGTTATCGAAACAATAAACGAAATTGAAAATACCGTTTAGAATTTTCAATCTTATGATAGAGCAAGGAGATAAGATTGGAAATTTAATTTTTCTATATTCCTTGTAGAGTTTATTATTATTATTATTATTATTGGATAAAATTAAAAAAAAAAATGATTTTGATGCTTAGATTAAGACAATTTTGAAGTCAAGATGGTGAAAATATTAAATGTCTTACTTGGAGCAACGGAATCAGTAGACACACTATTCTTAGGGAGTAGTGCTACAGCATCTTGGTGGCTCAATCATAGAAGCTCTAGGGTTAATCGTTATCTTTTATTTAGACTAACGAAATCAGTATACACACTATCCTTAAGAAGTAGTGCTATTGCATCTCGATTCTCGTAGAGTGTTAGAATTTATAAGTCTACAAACCCACTCCTAGAAGCGAAGTTGGAAGAATCTCGATTACGGATGGATCTATGACGGTCTAAAAATGTGAGATTATATGAGAAAAGTAGTTTATTAAAATTGGAGTTGGGGCTATACCAACCTTGGAATGCAATCCAAATGAATCCAACAAAGTAATTAAAAAGAGAGAGAGAGATGGGGAAAGGGCCTAACATATGGTTTCACAAGGAAAAGGACATGGCCCCACTTCTGTTCATAAATTTCATTTTTCGAAGTTTTTGAAGCTTTGATTTCTCTCTCCCTTGCACTTTTTATCTGCCAAAAGAGAGAAGCTTTTTGCTTTTTGAGCCCTTTTTGTCACATTTTTCTGTACACTCATCATCATATGCCCATACCCACATCCACATCTGCTATCTCTCTGTGACTCTATCCGTCTCAACAGAGCAAACAAACCAACCTCCCTCCTGCTTCTAGGGTTTCTCTCTTTCCCCCCTTTTTAATTTCTTCTTTCCTCCTGCAATTATTTTCTTCAATTCTTCTCAAAAGCTCCTCATTTGGTACGGTTCTTGTCTATGATCCTGTTTTTCTCCCTTTTTTTCCCATACCCTTTTCCTCCATGCACTTCGCCTGCTTTCTTTATGCTTATTTCTCATTTTCAAAGCTTATGATCATCTGCTTCATCCACTTTTTGTTGTTTGATCTGTGGTTTTTCTGTTTCTCATGCTCCCCAAATGGAAGTTTTTGCTCTGTTTTCTTTTTTCCTTTCAAGGCAAGTTCATTTTATTCCTTTTTTTTCTGAATTCTCATGCCTTTCCTACCTTTTCCCCTCCCTTTTTCTCTATTCCTTTGATGACCCTTTATTGTTTATATATTCCATTCCTGTTCTTGAGATGAATTCATTGAAATTTTGGTGTTTATATTTGGTATGGGTTGTTCTTGTTCTGGATTATACTTTTCTGTCTGTTTTCATTGCTTTCGAGCTCCAGACCTTCTGGATCTACCTTTATAATCTTCTATTTGTGTAGATCATTGAAATAATGTTTATGGGACCATTTGTATTTGAATAAACTGAACTGGGTTTCTTTTTTTCTTTACTTTTGTGGGTTTTGACCTGGTTTGTTAATGGTTGCAAGGGTTAGAAAAATAAATGATGTAAACAGTTCCATGGTTGGTTTATGAATTGGGTTCCTTTCTGTTTGAAGCATCCTGCTATTTTCTTTGATATGTAGTGCTAATCTTTATCATATTTGAATGTTTTAGGAAGAAATTCAACACATTTGGCAGTGCTTGGATTTGATAAGAGCTCTGATAATCTGAGCTCAGAGAGATTTGAAAATTCATTTGGAAAGATGGGTGTTATGTGTGATTTTTGTGGGGATCAAAGGGCAATGGTTTTCTGTCGATCTGATGTTGCTTGTTTGTGCTTATCTTGTGATCGTAATGTTCACTCGGCTAATGCCTTGTCGAGGCGACATACAAGAACACTGCTATGTGAAAGATGCCATTTGCAACCTGCCTCAGTAAGATGTATTGATGAGAGGGTTTCTCTGTGTCAAAATTGTGACTGGACGGGTCATGGCACGTCTACGACTTCATCATCGCACAAGAGGCAAGCCATCAATTGTTACTCTGGTTGTCCATCAGCTGCTGAGCTTTCTTCCATCTGGTCCTTTGTTTTGGAGGTTCCCTCTGTGAATGATGCTTGTGAGAAAGAGATGGGATTGATGAGCATTTCTGAGACCGACTTGACGGGAGCTTCGAGCCCTTTGGAGAATAACAACGCCTGTCGAAGAATGCCCGAGTCGACTGAAGCCAGAGATGTTTGCAGCAGGGACAAATCAAATATTTTGGTTGGATCATCTTCACTCTCGGACTTTGGCTCTAGGCCTCACATTTCAGATCAGCCCGTTGAATTGGCTAATATGGCTGTACCCAAGGTGAAGGATGAATTTCATATACTTGATTTTTCTGTCTAAGTTTATTGTTGGAACTTTTGGCATAGGTAATGTGAGATCCCACGTTGGTTGGAGAGGGGAACGAAGCATTCCTTATAAGGGTGTGGAAACCTCTCCCTAGCGGACGCGTTTTAAAACCATGAGGGGAAGTCTGGAAGGGAAGCCCAAGGAGGATAATATCTGCTACTGTTGGGCTTGAATTGTTATAAATGGTATTAAAGCCAGACACCGGGCGATGTGCCAGCGAGGACGTTGGGTCCCCAAGGGAAGTGGATTGTGAGATCCCACATCGGTTGAAGAGGAAAAAGAAGCATTCCTTATAAAGGTGTGGAAAACTCTCCCCAGAAGACGCGTTTAAAACTTTGAGGGGAAGCCCAGAAGGGAAAACACAAAGAGAACAATATCTGCTGGCAGTGGGCTTGGGCAAATGGTATCAAAGCCAGACCCCGAACAATGTGCCAACGAGGACGCTGGGCCCCAAGGGGAGTGAATTGTGAGATCCACATCGGTTGGAGAGGGGAACGAAACATTCCTTTCAAGGGTGTGAAAACCTCTCCCTAGTGGACGCGTTAAAACCTTGAGGGGAAGCCCGGAATCTGCTAGCGGTGGGCTTGGGCTGTTACATGTAACGAGACAGCACATTTGTTGGAATGAGAGATTTTTCTCACGACTCTCCTCGATAGATATACTTGAGAAATCGTAAATGATATCGGCAATACTTCGAGTCTGAATTTCGAGCCTTGAACTTTATATTGCAAACTCATTATTAGATGTTTTTTGGTTGACTGTCATTATATGGAACCATATGCATGTTGCTGCAGATTTCCCAATTTCTGCTTATTGGTTCTTGTCAAAGATCTTTTGAAGCATCACATTTTTGGCATGCAGTTTTGCTGTCCTGGAACAAAACTTCCCGGATTCTGCGACGACGACGACGACATCTACAAGGAGTTTGATATGGATGAAATGGATTTGAATCTCGAAAATTACGAGGAGCTATTTGGTATGAGCCTTAATCACTCTGAAGATCTTTTTGAGAACGGTGGAATCGATAGCCTTTTCGAGGCCAAAGGCTTTGACGATTCAGTTTGCCACAGTGCAGTTGCTGCAGAGGTGTTTGTTTGAATTTATTTATTTTGGACCGTAATGCTTATTTGGTTTTACTGAATGGAACGGAAATGGCCTTCCACAGGGCTCTTCTGTTGGAGTGGTCAAACCAATGCAGCCAGCCTGCAGCAATGGTGCATCTGCTGACTCGGTTATGAGTACTAAAACCGAACCGATTCTCTGTTTTAATTCAAGGCAAGCATCGGGTGTGTCGTTTTCTGGCCTTACTGGTGAGAGTAGTGCTGGTGATTATCAAGACTGTGGAGCTTCTTCAATGCTTCTAATGGGAGAGCCTCCTCCTTGGTGTGCTCCTGGCACTGAAAGTTCGATCCCATCTTCTGATCGTAACAATGCCGTTCTACGTTACAAGGAGAAAAAGAAGACGCGCAAGTAAGTTTCGTTGCCCTTCTGATTGTTGAACAGACTAGATCATTATAAGTTTCGACACTCACTTGTAATTTAAACACGTTATAGATTTGAGAAACGAGTTAGATACGCCACACGCAAAGCTCGAGCCGATGTCAGAAGGCGAGTGAAGGGACGCTTTGTGAAGGTTGGAGAGGCTTATGATTACGACCCGTTGAGCCAGACTAGAAGCTGCTGAGTACAATTTTTAACTATGCTTTACAAAAAGGAATGAATCACTCTAATGTCTGCTTGGAAAGATACATACTTTATTTATCTAACCAGGGGATGATTTTGATGCATGATGATAAGCTGTCTCATTATATCACAGGAAGGTTCGACGAAAGATCGCATCCAAAACAGCGGTTCGGAAGGTTCCACGACCAAACTTTCCGGGGAGAACTCGAAAAGGGTGTATAGATCAGAGCTTCAATAAGAGACAGTCAGTCACCATAAGATTTGGGTCAAGCTTTGAGGGCAGCTCCTCTGAAACTATCTGTTCACTGATCCCTTGTTGGTCAGAAACTATACTTACCTAACTTTTTTTTTTTTTTTTTTTTTTTTTTTTTTTTTTTTTTTTTTTTTTTTTTTTTTTTTTTTTTTTTTTTTTTTTTTTTTGTTGATCTGATGAAACCTGGCTTAGTGTCGAGTGAAAAGCCCGCGATGGCCGAAATATTATTTTGTTTGTATAGCATAGAGTCAGAATATTTTACAGCACGTCGAGTTGAGTTGAGTTAGTAGCAGTTGAGTTGAGTATGGGTTCCAAGGTTGAACATAAGATTTTCTCTTTTCCACTTGTAAATGTAAGGGATAGATTGCATATGCATTTGAGAGAGATTTGTTAATTGTATTCATACCTTGTAAATTTATCTTCTTTGTACCCTATTGAAGAGACTTTTTCAATCTTTAGTCCTATGATCGGAGTGAATTTTTTTTTTTTAGGGGAATACGTGGGGATCATGAGATGAGGATGTTCGAGATGGAGAGGGAGAGAGGACAAGATAAGACAAAGTTCGGAACAGGGAATATAATCTTCGTCCTCAGTCTTGTTTAGTTGACAGTGAGAAATCTTTTCGTCCTCCCTTTCCTGTTTAAACAAAACTTCTCTTGAGAGGGAGAGAGAAGAGATAAAGGCGAAATCAGGAGTAAGGAATATAATCTTCGTCCGTCCTGGTACTGTTGTTCAATGTCACACGTCTATGGAAAATGATGTGAGCTTACTAAAAAGCCCCCACAATCATTTAAAAATAAAAAAGAAATTAAATTACAAAATAAATTTAATTTGGTTTGTGTCTATTTAATCTAAAAATTTTAAATATTTTTAAAAATTTTATTTTAGGTCTAATATATATTAGAAAAATATAATTTTTAAAAATTAATTGATATATTAAATCTAAAATTAAAATTTGAAATTTTTGTTTGTATTTAGTAAATTCATAAACTTATAATTTAAAAGTTTAAATTGAAACTGAATTTATAATTTAATCTAAAAAAATCGAAATCCATATTTTTAACGATTCAAAATTGTTGCCACTTGTGCAATGATGGGATGCTCTGTCGGCCAGCTATACGACAAATGACACGTGGACAAGTGGCACAGTAGGATTGTCGTAAGTGAAATTTGTATTAAAAGGACAAGTCAGTACCAAAAGCTGACACGTTGGCATCGTGACAAGATGATTGATCCAGAATCCAGTACAGGATAAGAACACCGTGTGAGTGTCGTACTGGATTATTTATTTTTTATCTCTCTCTTAATTCATATTCTTACAAAATTAAATTCAATTTTTTTAGGTTTTACGGATAAATTAATATTCTTTTTTTGTCAATTTATCATGTTTGACATCACTTCCACTAATTAATGCTATTTTTTTTTAATAAATAAGAAATTTAAATTTTTTAATTTTCATATTTGTGTCTAATCTGTTCGTCTCTTTTTTATCGGAATTGTGCGAATCTCGGTCTTTTGTTGGAAAATTTCGTGATTGTGGCCCGTCTTTAACCAAACAGCTTTCTTTCTCTCGTCTTTCTTTGTAGCTACTCCCGACAGCTCAGCTCTATCTTCCTTGAATGTCTCCCGACCTCTTCTCTTCTTCTCCTTTGTTAGTTCTCTACCGTGCGTTGCTTCGTAATTTATTCTGTCGCTGATTCATCTTTGTGGGTTAGTAGTAATAAGAATGGATACTTCATCTGCAGCGACAACATTATATTATTATTTATTTATTTATTTACAACTAAATAAACTAAAGATTAAATAAATTTATACCGAGGTTGAATATCTCCCATATTGTTTTCTTTATAATGACTCGAACACATTATCAAGACTCTGGAGATCCCTAGAAAAAAAAAATAACACGGATAATATAATTTAATATCTAATATATGAAAAAGTATATATTTTAATTATTTATATATAAAATATATAATATATTTTTAAATAATTAAATAAATTTTAATTAAGCAATAAATGAAAAAAAAATATAAATCATCACATCCACCAATCACTTATGATCTGTTGCATGTTGATATTTATAGCTCATGATATTCTGTAGAGTATTTATTTCCTATTTAATTAATTCTAATAATTTAAAATTAACTTTAAAATTATTTGACTAATGAATTCTTCATTAATGATTGCTTCATCTTAAAATTAACTAAAATATTAAATTAATTAAAATGTAAATATTTTATCAAACATAATTTAAAATTTATATTAAATATTAATAATAAATAAATAAATTCCCAATCACAAAATTCCACTCCCTCAAACTACATACAAAAGCATCGAAAATCCATTATTCATGAGAGGAGCTAAATCATTTTTAAAAATATTAATTGATGGGTATATTTTAAAAAATAATATTTGGATTATATTTTGAATTAAAATTAAAAAAAAAATTGAAATTTTAAATATGTTACAAGTGATTGAACGAAGGTTTTGACCAATTGCAATTCATCGTCATCGGGTTCACTTCCAAATTATTTACTAACTATTAAATAATCGTTGACCTAAGTCTCTATGCTAGAGTTGGGCTCTCGACCGTACATGAACGGTTGTGGTTATTATTAGAGAGAGAACTTCATTCTTGACTTCTTTGCTCGGTCAAGCTTCTTTGTTTTGTATTGTAATCTCGATTCAAAGCTTAAGACTTCGACTTCGTTCCAATTGGCCTACCGTATACACGCCTTTAATGTCAATACTATATGTAAAAAACACCCTTTACTTTCTTTTTTTTTTATAAAAAATTCAAAAAATTCTTACTACTAATATATGGACAAACCGTCTATTAACATCTCATAGATTTTGTAGAAAGATTCCAGTAAAAAAAAAGACTTTTAACATAAAACTTCCGTTTTCAAATTTCTGTTTTAAAATTATGAAGAAAAAGCATCCAACCTACAAAAAATTGACATTAAAAGTAAAGGAGGAGTTGGGTAGCAAACTTACAATTGGGCATATCAGAATTACAGGTAAAGAGATAACATCACAGATTGCAGAGCTACTAATCCTCCTCTTGCGGCAGTGTCTGTGACTTGTAAAGTTGGAAACTTTGATTGACCAACGCCTGGACTTCTTGTCTCCATACAAACCCAGAAAGGATTGGAAAAAATGAGCTTGATCTCATGATATAAAGTAACCATGGTTTTGGGGGGTTTTTCGCTATGAAATCTAACCATGGTTAGATAACTTGGGTTAGTCTCCTTCACAACTGGAGATGTGGGTTTGGGTTTGGGTTTGTCCACAACTCGGCTGCTGCTGCGTATAAAACCACCCAGATGAGCCCTTTGTCATTAACAACCCTTACAAAAACAGATATGAACCTCGTCTCATCGATTCTTTCTTGATCTCTTACCTCTTTCTGTTCATAATCTCCGGTGTGCCTCAGAGTTTTTGGTATGTTCCCTTCTTGCTTTGCGCACTATTTGGCTTGAATTCTTGATTCGGATTCGGATTGTGATCTTCCTTTCATTTTCTGTTCTGGGTTCTTGGGATTTTTGGATTTTCTTTCTGAATTTGTAAGGATGGGTTCTGGGTGGTTTTGAATTTGATCTGAGAGGCGTCGGGGTTTTCATTGGCGTTCTTCTGATGGGTTTTGATCACTTTCTCGAACGTTTTGGATCGTTTCTGGGTAAATCTATTGCTCCAAATCTTGATGTGAAAAGTGGAAACTAAACGTATTCTATAGTGTATGTATGTGTGCGCTGATTAAAGGGTTTCTCTCTGTTTCTTTACTTCTGGTATAAAACTGGCTGTGGAAGATGGTTTTGGTGCTTTTGTTCTATGTTCTTGGCTCTTGTATCTGAACAGATCTCCACACAAGGATGTTTCCATTTCCAATGCAAAATTTTCTGTTCTTTGTTTACTCCATGGATTTCTGATCCTTCTTCGACCTTTGTGCATTTTCAGATGAGATATAAACAGAAGGATCAAACTGAAGAACACTTTGAACTCAGAATTGTGACTTCTTTTACATTTGGCTGATATTTGATTCATTCGGACCGATCCCAGTTCTTCATCTTTCAAAGAATTTTTTGTATCTAAGATTTTGATTGAAATGGGTCTCTCCAGCCTTCCTGCCCCTTCTGAAGGAGTACTAGGAGTGATCCTTGTGAATACGGCAATATCGATTTCCATATTCAAAGGCATAGTTCGGTCGATCCTCCATGTCGTTGGCATCCATCTTTCGACACCATCATCATCAGATTCCATGGAGAATTCTCCTGAATCCATAGACTTCTGTCTTAATCCAAATGGAGGCTACATTGAAGAGTTCCGTAGTCGGATCCCAGCAATTCTGTTTGACAAAGTTCGTAGCTGCAAATGGCTAGAACACGACTGCTCGGTCTGCCTTACCCAGTTTGAACCTGAATCAGAGATAAACCATCTATCTTGTGGCCATGTTTTCCACAGAGTGTGCTTGGAGAAGTGGCTGGACTACTGGAACGTTACTTGCCCACTGTGTCGAACTCCATTAATGCCCGAAGAAGAGACAGCCTCCTGCTTCTGGTGAGCATTATGAACATTATGAACATTATGGTTAAGGAATATCATTCCATGTACAGCAGCATAGTGTATAGATAATCTTAAAAGTGCATCCGCAGGCCATAGAATTTGTACCTTGAAGCGTGATGAGTGTGTGACCCTCTGTTATTTCATTGTAAATATGAAGCTTTCTGTTCGTCTTCTTTGTTGTGTCTATACAGTCTTGAGACTGCCTTTTACATCGCTAAAAACCTGAATAATCTATGCTTCCTGCGCACGTTTTTACTTTTCGAACTTTTCGAACGAGAATCGAACATTTATAAGAAACATTAAATTTTATAAGCAATCTTAAATATCATCAGAATTCTGAAAGACATATATAATACATGGTACTCAGCAAATACAGAAGCTCAACAACTTGAAAATTAGGAAGATCCAAGTGAAGGATAGTTTCTATTGCAAGAACAAAACTCATTATTAAGCTAAAACATTTCTTAATCTATCAATTGATTCTCAAAGCAACAGAAACAATTAACAGATTTCGGACTAATTAGATGCAACACTGCAGGTGTTGATTCCATCCTTGCAATCGTTTGTGAGGTCGTTGAATGTTTCTAGCTGCTTTTTGCCTCTTAAGAACACCTCTGTGTCTACTGATACTCTCATATATCCATCAAATTCAACTGGTGTCCCATTGTTAAGATTCATTGTTTCTGTGTACCATTCGCTGTCTTTGCCCCAAAGATCCTTGTACTCGTCGAGGAAATGGGTAGAGAATTTGTCTTTCAAGGGGTCGAAGTAATCCGTGTTTGGCTCATTGGTAGCAATGTAAAGGTTCCTTCCAGTTTCAAGCTTCTCTTGCAATGTCGACAGAAGCGTATCAGGTGACGTATCAACGTCAAGATTTGGCCAGAGCTCCTTGTTCTTTGCTTTCTCACCTCTCACTATGTGGACTGAATCATAATCCCAGTTCAATCTTGATGCAATTGAAGATACTATATCCATCAGACGTCTTGATTTCCAAATCAAATGCCACGGTCGCTTAACTACGGATTCCGTTTCTCCTTCACAGACGCGATACCAATAATTATCTGGTTCTGTAGATCCAAACTTTCTGAATATCAAGGCATCCTTTACGTCGGCAAGTTTCATAGGTGTGACGCGAAAGTCCTCAACAAGATAAAGGCCTAAACGATCTTTCTTTTGCCATTGCTCCCAATCAGACCAAAACTGACCCTGGTCCAAGATGGATGCGGACTCTTTCAGATGCTCAAAATCAAAATAAAACCTGAAATCCTTTCCTTCCTCATCTTGCTTCGATGAAGTATAGATCGAAGACAGACAAATTTTCAAATCCATAACTAATGTGCGGTTCAAATATTGAGCTTCACCTAAAGCACATAAGAAACTCCACAAGTAATGGTTCATGCTCTTGCATTTATCTCCGCTCATCTCATAAACCAAGTACTTCCCCTGACTAAATGAGCCTTCAGACTCGACCACAGGGAGTGAATCATTCACAACTTCCCCAACAACAGGCAAAGACACTGCATGCTCTAGCTGCTCCATTTTCTTCTCAAAATTATTTTTCGGATTCTTTTTCCTCTTCCTTGCATTAACACCACTGTGGTAGTCACCTATGCTAATGATACTAAGAGTACAATTAGCAGATCTAGTAATCACAAACCTCCTATAATCTTTATAAAAAGAAGCAATCTTCCCTTCCTTGGGTCGAAATCGCCATGCCATATCACAGGTGCTGTCGTTAGAACCACGAACCGGTTTCCCAAACCGGTAAAAGTGAATGTCCTTGAATCGTTCTATGGTGGTCTCCATCATCATATGGAAAACCTCAGGGTCGCGACAATCGATGGGGTCATCCACATTGCTATTGCACTCAGGTGAAGCTCCTTCAGTAGCAGAACCCAAAGCAGAGTTTTCAGCATCAATGATTTTGACAATATCAGTTTCATTTAGAAATGTTGCAAATGCAGTTTGATTGGCAGCCATGAAATCCTCCCCAGTTTTCATCACAGTGCTATCAGTTTTAAAAGTGGCATTGGAGTTAGACGTGAGAAAGGTAGTGATCTTGGTCGATGGGTGAAAAAGTGGGTCCTCAGGCTCGTAAGTGGCCGCGATTATAGTAAAAATCAAAACCCCAACCACAAACAGAGTGAAACAAAGATTTCCAATAAGAGCAAGCGCATTCTGACCCAGATTCTCTGGTCTAAAACTTCCACTTCTGTAAAGAGAAGACCGACCCAACATCTTTCCAAGCGTCAACTTCCCCAAATCTACAACTATCAAACAACTCGAAAAAAAACCCTGAAACCTAGAACGCCAAAAAGTCATTTACAGAACAATCGACAACAAAAGTAAGGGCAATCTCATAGATCTCAACAAAAATGTGGAAGAACAAAAGGAAAATACAAAATGAGGCTCCCCGAGTTCAATAATCCAACAAAACCCACAACCAAATCCGCAGAAATCAAAGAAAACAAAGCTTCAATTCCACAAGTACATTGATCTGGAACAAGCGAATTAGAAAGTTCTCTAACTCGTACCTGACTCAAGGAAGAAGATGACTCGAGCAATTGAACACCATGGGTTTGAAGTGAGCGTGAGATGCGAGATGAGAGTGAACAGAGGGAATGCTAGATTCCGCTGAGCCCCAAAATAGTCAAAGTGACGACCGAGTAGTCGGCGAGAGAAATGGAATATATAATAAATAAATAATAATTAAACTGAGAAGGGGGAATTTTGATATTGTTACGGTAACCACAAGGTGAACTGCACATGACTCACACGATGCTTCCACGTGTCAATATGGGACGAAACATCGTCGATTTTACTTGTTGATTTCATCTGAGCTGGAGCGGTTTATTCGGTAGTTTCGGCCACCGACAGTGGCAATATCGTAATTAAAGGAAACACTTTTTTGCCTTCCATGAAGACTCATTCTTAGCTTAAAAGTTGTTCTAAAATTATTTTATAAAACCTATAAAATTGTAACGATGATTAGATTTTTTTTTTTTTTTAAGTAACTGAATAATATTTGTTAGCAATAGTTTTGAACAGTTACGCAATAGATCTGAACAGTTATAATATTAGAAGAGCTAGACATTGATATCTGTTAGCGGTAGATTTGAATTGTGACAAATGGTATGAGAAGAGCTAGACACGGGATAGATTTGAATTGTGACAAATGGTATTAGAAGAGCTAGACATTGGACGGTGGAGAATGTGAGGCTAACAATATCTATTAATAGTATATTTGGACCATTACAAATGGTATCAGAAGAGCCCGACACTAGTCGGTGGGGTTGACAATATCTGTTAATATGAGATTTGGATTGTTACAAATAGTATAAGAAGAGCCAGACGTGGAGCTGACAATATCTACTACCAATAGGTTTGAACGGTTACAAATGGTATCAGAAGAGTCCGACACTGAATGTGGGACTGACAATATCTGTTAGCAGTAGGCTGACATGGTAATAAATGATGAAGAGTCAGATACTGAGAGATGGGGTTGTTACAAATAGTATCAGAGCTAGAATGGTGTGCCAACAAGGATGCTATAACATCCCACACTGATTGTAGAGGGGAACTAAACATTCTTTATAATGGTATAAAAATCTCTCCCTAGCAGATAATTTTAAATAGTGAGACTGAAAATGATACGCAACGAGCTTCAACTGTCCCTTCTACTGAAAGAAGCTCAATATCACATTACCCTTTTTCTATTAAAGAAACATAATAACATAAGAACAAGACAAACATCATTTGACTGTCACTTTATCCTAATCTACTATGTTTTGAGACACAAAACTTCTCCCTGTACCTTAAAGCCTGTTTTTTCTCACAATTGCAGCTAAGCTTCCTTGTTCTGGTTCACTTTAGAAACATGACTATTTTGGTTCAGATGCAGCTGCGTTGGGTGGAACGGTAGTCGTCATTGTAGTAGGCAACGGCCGCAGGATGAGATACAAGGCAGGACCTAAAAATGGCACGACCGAAAACGGAACGAGCCAAGATCCTTTGTCGTACCTGGAATGAGTTCATTGCAATGTTACCAACAAAGCTTAAATGGAATCGAGTAAGGATTCACATGAGAATGTAGTCCGAACCATTTTCGAGCAGTCTTGTCATTGTAAACCCAAAATGGAGCAAATGAAGATAGTAGCATGAAGTCGATGCTCATGGCATGGATCTGCATCAATAACGTTTCGAAACTGGGGTAAGACTGACATTTCAATGAAACACTGAAACTATCTGCATCAATAACGTTTCGAGTCCGGGGTAAGACTACAACATTTCACCCGACATTTCAATGAAACACTGAAACTATCTGCATCAATAACGTTTCGAGACCAGGGTAAGACTACAGTTTGATTCAGCAAGAAAACGTTCTTCAACTAGTCTACAAATGAAGAATTTTAACAACATATTCGACACGTTGCATCAGATAACAATGAACCACCATGGGCATGAAGACACGGGCGCAAAATAACTACGATACTAAGTGGAAGTCGAATCGCTAGACTTACAAATCTGCTCTCTCTGAAGTACTGGTAAAATGCCTTCCACGCACTCTCACCAGCTAATCCAGCATAAAATAGTATACCGAGTCCTGCAGCAAATGTTATCTGATTCCAACATGGTTAGCTTTCATTTTGAATCAAATTGTAGGGCCAAAAAAGATAGAAACAGCTGAAGCAGTGATGTAGTGGTGCTTCTGAACCATTATGCAACCTTCAAACTAGTTTCGTTATAAGATACAGAAAACATCAACACAATCTTCAACCTGTTCTTGCTGTAAATATGTGAGTGTGTTGTGTGATTCTCTGTATCTACTCTAATCGCAGAAGCCTACCACTAACATATATTGTCCTCTTTGAACTTTCTCTTTTGGGCTTCCCCTCAAATGGTATTAAAGCTAAACACCGGACAGTGTACCAGCAAGACCAAAGGGGGTGGACACCGGGCAGTGTGCCAGCGAGGATGTTGGGCTCTAATGGGGGTGGATTATGAGATCCCACATTGGTTGTAGAGAGGAGCAAGTGCCAACAAGGACGCTAGACCCTAAAGAGGGTGGATTGTAAGATCCCACATCGGTTGTAGAGAGGAGCAAGTGCCAATAAGGACGTTGGACCCTAAAAGGAGTAGATTGTGAGATCCCATATTGACTGTAGAGAGGAACAAGTGCCAACGAGGACGCTGGGTCTCGAAGGAGATGGATTGTGAGATCCCATATCAAGTGGAGAGAGCAACGAGTGCCAGTGATGACGCTGGGCCGAAGGGGGTAGATTGTGGATCCCACATTAATTAGAGAGAGGAACGAATGCCGACGCTGGGCCCCGAAACATTCGTTGTAAGGGTGTGGAAACTTCTGATTAATCGAGTCGTCTTAAAAACCTTGAGGAAAAGTCTAAAAGGAAAAGCATAAAGAGGACAATATCTGCTAATGCTCGAGCTCGGTGGACGAGGTACGTATAATATAGTAACCAGATAAAGGGAGGGTAAGGGGACGAATTTTCCATACCCCAGAAGTGAATTTGGACTCGAGGAAATTCAAAGGCCATCTCTTGAGTTCATCTTCCTCAACAGGAGGTGGCGGTGGCTTCCGAAGTACAAAATATGGAAGAAGACCGTAGGCACCCAAGAAGAACGACAGTACTAGGAAAGGCCAGACAGGAACATTGCTATTTGAGCTGCAGATACAAGAATCATGTCACTAAACAATTTGAATTGAGCTGAAAAGGCAAGAAATCCAAATTTTATCTACCTTCTGCCAGAAGGAAGCAGCAGCATGCCATAAACCAGTGGCCACAAGCCCATAATATACCAAAGAGACACAAGCACTTCATTCATTTTGAAGCCATCGTCACTTTTCAAGTTCAAAAGCTTCTTCAAGAGATATATGTCCATTGACTGCAAATTTTCAAGCAAAACACATAGAATCGCATTCGATGAACTAAAGGAAGAAAAACAGAGAAGAAGAAGAACAAGACAATCATGTTTTACCGGAGTCCGATTCGGAGCGAGATTGAAGACATAAAACATTAGACCAGCCCAGAAAGAAAACAGTAGAATCGAGGTCGTCCAGTCTCTTCCCTCCCCACCATATCTGCCGCCGTCGCCGTCGCCGCTACCGCCGCGCTCGTATTCTATTGGTCTCGCTTTTTCCCCAACTGGGTCTCCTGCCGTTTGATTTCCCGATGCTCTCCGCCATTTTTGAAGCAAACCCATTTTGCTGGAGCTTGAATCTCGACGAATGTTGAAAGTGGGGCAGGCCGAAATCGTGAAGGGTATGATTTGAGGAAGTAATTTAGGCTAATTTAGGGAATACCCATAAGGAATACATTTATATCTACATTATACGAGGCCTTTAAAAAATTCAAACTTACTCGAATTTTTGCTTTAGAGATAATGATATTATAGTACAGTAAAGAGTCGTAAATTTAAAGAGACGGTTGGAGGGCTCTGTAGGTTTCAGGAAATTTATGAGTCATATATCTCTGTGTTTCCGTCACCGATTCATCGCCGACTTGATTATGGAATTACAAGTGTCGAACAACACTGATTCATTGCAGCCTGAGTGCGAGTTTCTGTATTTACATGTGTCAATTCTTTGGCTCCCCTGGTTTGTTAGTTTGTGGATCAAGAGTTTTTCAAGAAAACATGAACCTTTAGATTACATAAGAACAGAAACATTTGAAATCATTCAGGAAAGGAACTGTCACAAACAACATCATTTCACAACTAGAGAACAGGGGGAGGGATGATGATGATAAGCAACAATCTCCGACAATTGTCATTTATGCAGCAGAAGACCAACATAAACAAGACAACGATGTTTTAAGCATATCCTCATTCCCAAACCCCAAATTATTGACAAGTTCTAACAAATGGAGTCCAGCATTTTCCATCACAGGCTCTAAATACAGCTTCAGTCTTGCAGACAAGGTCACGTCTTGAGAATTTGCAGATTATACATTTTATGCTGAACCCCGCTATCAAGCGCCCGTAAGGCTTATGATTCTGCAGCTTGCAAGCAGCAAAACCATTTTTTCTGCAAATCCCAATTCGCAATCATGAGAAAATGACAGTGTTCTTACTTCAAAAACAGATGGAATTGGTTTAAACACGGTTATATTTACAACTGTGGCTCTATCAGTAATCTTGTAACGGTCCAAGTCAACCGCTAGCAGCTATCCTCTTTAGATTTTCCCTTCTCCCGTTGCTTCTAAAACAAATCAAAGAAATTGAAAAGATTTGGGTGCAAAGAACTTACAGGCTGAGACTTTCCAAGAACAGCGCCATGCTTATATGAAGGGTCATCCTTTGCAGGAGAGTCAGGTAAGCCACCAGTCTTTTTCTCGTTCCTGGCTTTATTGAAGATGACTGTGAATCCCTCGGCGGATGCGGGATCGTTGACATCCCATTCGCCGAACTTTGGTAAGGGACTGCTACTGCCTTTTTCCTGCATAGTCAATAAGCTTATGAATGGCAGACATTTCAAGGCAATATTTGCATATTAGTGTGAAAGTATATACTTAGCTATAGCTAATTAACTTAGTCACTTCTCCTTTCTTCTTGGGTCAAATCTCTATATCCTTATCCATTTATGAGCTAAGTCACAATCCAAAAGATCCTCCCAGCTAACCAACCTCACGTTAGGAAGAGCCAACCCGGATGGTGAGACATGCTGAAACTATGTTGAGGATTATTGAGAGGAGTAGCCCCACATTGATTAATGAAGAGGAAGATCAACGGTTTATAAGTAAGGAACACTAACTCTATTGGTATGAGGCCTTATGTGGAAACCATAAGTAGAGCCATGAGAGCTTATCTTTAAAGTGGACAATATCATATCATTATGGAGGTTTGTGGTTCCCAACATAGTATCAGAGTCGTGCCCTTAACTTAACCATGCTAATAGAATCCTCAAGTGTCGAACAAAGAAGTTGTGAGCCTCGAAGGTATAATCAAAGGTGATTCAAGTGTTGAACAAAGGTGTACTATGTTTGAGGGCTTTAGAGAAGGAGTCGAGCCTCGATTAAGGGGAGGCTGTTCAAGAGCTCTAGAGAATGAGGCCTCAAGGGGAGGCTCTATAGTGTACTTTGTTCGAGGGGAGGATTGTTGAGGATTATTGAGAGGAGTAACTCCACGTTGGCTAATTAAGAGAAAGATCATGGGTTTATAAGTAAGGAACTCTATCTCCATTGGTACCGGGCCTTTTAAGGAAAACAAAAGTAAAGCCATAAGAGCTCATGCTCAAAGTGGAGTGGAGGTTCGTGGTTCCTAACCGACTAATGAACGATTATAGAATAAAATCTTAGAAACATCTCTTAAAACTCATGCAGAGACTGGTAAAAACAGAAGAACATGAAAGAATTCATGAAGGGAGTTCACATCGTCTAAAGAACTCAGATTCAACCTTCATAGAAAGCTCACATTAGAAACAACATCCATCCCCAACCTAAATACAGCGCACTCCAAGAATCATACATGAGATATTCACCAAGTTCGTCAAAAGCTCAGCTTAACACAGCATCACAAGATATGAATTGGGCTCTTTTGTTTGTTTGAATGAACCTCTCAAAGTTCAAGCATGCCTAAGAAGAAAAAAACTCCAATTGTTCCTTTAGCATACTTGCAAACGTTTAAAAGAACTGATTGAGTGAAAACCCCACATTCCCAAGTGAAGAAACCCCACCAATCCCTCAGCAAAATTACTAACAAAACCATGCAGAAAAGGCTAAACGCAAATAAACACTCGTTCAACCACAATGAAAGTGAGCACAAGGGAAAGAACAGGCAACAAACACAGTTCCAAATACAGAAACAAAACAATCAGAGAGAAAGCAAAAGGCAGAGGCCATAAAACCCTCCTGTTTTAGAACACCCCTTTGACAGGAACAAGAAGATCCAAAGGAAAAAAGACATGGAAAGCACGGTAACAATCTAATCAAGCCAAAAAAAACTCAAACCCAGAAACGATCAAGTCCTACAATCAAAATCTGAGTCGAGTTGAAAGAAGTAAACGATGAAATAAATGAAGGGTGTGCGTGGATTTCTTACCGCCATGACTGAGCTCTGAGAAGAAGAAGATGTTGAAGGATAAAGCCGCCTTGAGAAAGGGGTCTATGATTGATTCAGAGAAGAGGAGAGAGAAGAGGAGAGAGAGGGGGGGGAAGAAGAAGGGCTAAGACTGGGACCAAGAAGGAATTGGCTAATGGGATGATATAGAAGTGGAGAGTGGGACCCGCGTGTAAGCAACTTCGAAGGCCGTTTAATGGTGTGCTACTTCCAGCTGTGTAATGCCCAAGCGCCAACCCCCAGACGTTGAAACAGACGAACCTTTTTTTTTTTTATAAACAATTAATTAATTAGTTCAACCTTTTCCCTCCTATCGAATATTTATTTTCTATTCTTCCCTTAATCACATTTCTAATTTTCAATTCAATATTTGATTTTAAATATTTGATTCAATTATCTTTTCTGGATAATTGTGTTTGTTTTTTTCGTGTAATTATCATTATTTTATAAAAATGACAAAAATTGGTGACGAACACGCCATTAAACGAACAACCGCAATAGATATAATAGAGATATCGTACCAACGACTACTATAGTATTTATAATATCTCAAGTTAAATCTATCTCGTCAAACTTAATAAGAGTGGCGTCAGTGACTTTTAGAACAAGTGAAAAAATGTGGATAAATCAAAAACTTATTATACACAAAATTAAAACCTTATAGATTTATTAGACAATTTTAAAGTTTTGGATCTGAATTATAAAAAATTCAATCACTTATTAAACACCCGAGACCTCAGTCGATGAATCGAACGAGTAATTCCCATGAAAGAAACAGAGAAAAATGGAGAATGAAACTGCGTTGAATCAAATAAAATAAACAATATGATACATTTAAAATGGAAGACAGTGTTCTAAATTCTAACCCAAGTTTATATCAGCAGCTTCTCCTCCAAACCTATAACCAGTTCTTGTTTCCTTCCTGTATGCAGTTTTCACTTCCAAACTGCCTGGGACTTGCCCATGTTGAAGGGATTGTATATCTATATGAATATATGTATATATATATAAGAAAGTTGATGTTTGGAGAGTCAAAAATCAGATCATTTCCTCAAATTTGTCAAGCTTTTTAACCCGTTGCATACTCCGAAGAACAAGCGCCAAGAACACTCCTGTATTTCGCCAAACAATTGACACTAAAATTTGAACTTCTAATTCAAACTTGCACAGTAAGAAAAAGAGCTCGAGCTCACCTGCCCCGACGAATGATCCACTGGCAATGGCTTGGTTGCCTTGAGAGCTTACGGTGATTCCGAGGTTCAAAAGCGTACCGCCCATCACGCTGTACATCGTTGCCATTTGAAGTATTGTTGCTTTCCTTGCTGCTCTTTCGGACTATGATTTCCATCAGAATATAGTGAAGTTTTGATATTTGCTGATTTCATAGTAATTAGATCATGTAAGAGTTTAAGAAGTAATTGAATATGTACCTCCAGCACTCGGACTCGAAGCTTTAAGTCCCCCGACTCAAGCTGTTGTACGAATTCCTCTATTCTTTGAACTCTGGACGGCATGGAAATGGTGGATGTTCTGGCCTGAAAATGAATTGCTATATTTTGTGAGAACTTTCGCTATATGAAGAGAGAATGGAAGAAAAACTCAAAGGAACCATTGTACTTCATTGGCTTGCTTCCTTATCTCCTCCACAAGTTGTGTTCTGCTTTGCTCCTTCTGTTTTAAGTCTAAAAGCTCCTGCACATAGTTTTCACAGAAACCACTTGAAAAACCTTTATGGATATCCAAAAGAACTATGAATAGATCATTTAAAAAAGTGTCAATGGTATGATATTTACCATACCATGGTACTGCATAAGCTCTCATGTTTTTCTTTTGGTTGCTTGAAAAGGTCTCATACTAATGGAGATGTATTCCTTACTTATAAACACATGATCAATCCCTTAATTAGCCGATGTGGGACTCCTCTCCCAACAATCCTCAACAATCCTCCCCTCGAACAAAGTACACTATAGAGCCTCCTCCCCTGAGGCCTATAGAGCCTTCGAACAACCTCCCTTTAACTGAGGCTTGACTCCTTCTCTAGAGCTCTCGAACAAAGTATACTCTTTGTTCGACATTTGAGTCACTTTTGACTATACCTTCAGGGCTCACAACTTCTTTGTTCGACATTTGAAGATTCTATTGACATAACTAAGTTAAGGGCATGACTCTGTTACCATGTTAGGAACCATGGACCCTCCACAAGAGTATGATACTGTCCACTTTGAGCATAAGCTCTCGTGGCTTTGCTTTTGGTTTCCACAAAAGGCTTCATACCAATGGAGATGTATTCCTTACTTATAAACCCATGATCTACCCCTTAATTAGTCGACGTAGGACTCCTCTCCAACAATTCTCAACAAAAAGAACCTAACAAACCTGTGCGTATGGTGCAGCAATCTTCACGAAGGAAAAATCTGGGTCGAGTGTGTAGCCTATACCTGAAACGACATTCGATTCCGTAGTCAAGAGCAGAAACGTAACCTAGTTGAAGTTGGTCAGCTTCTATACTTTAAAACAAAGAAAATGATGGCTCAATTACAAAAGCACAAGAGAGTGAGATCAACCTTCCAGGGTAGAAAATGCCCTCAATACAAAGGTAAAGGTGGAGGGGAATCGAAAAGGTTGATCCTGAGCTATTGCAAATAAATCCTGCCAGACAACCACGCTTGAGTTTATAAAAGATGATATTGATATCAAATTTGACAAAACCGAGCCTTCAACATTTGCTGAATTGAATATGTGCACACCTCTCCAATTGCAGCCAGAGTCTGCTGCTGATCTGGAGTTTGGCTCAAGAGTGTGTCCAAGAAAAACTGAATGGATCTCCTCACCTAAATAAAAAATTCGATGAATGATAAGGCCAAAAACATAATTAGTTTTGTGAGATTTATATTCAATTTGCACACTGTATACCGCAGACAGATCTCCTGTTGGCTGAAGTGCTTCAAGATCTATGAGCCTTTGCATAACCTGCAAGGTTGCAGCCTTTATCCGTAAAAGTAATTACCATAACAACAGATGCATCGACAGTTTTGCACCACCCCCATGAATCACATGATATAAATATGCTTTGCATCCGTTTTACTATAATCTATAGCAAATTCAAAAAAACCATTATGAGCCTCAAAATCTGTATATCTACTCTTTTGTATGAGTGTGAGATCTCACATCGGTTGGAAAGGGGAACGAAACGTTCCTTATAAGGGTGTGAAAAACCTCTCCCTAGTAGTCGTGTAATGGGAAAGGTCATAAGAGAAAACCCAAAGAGGACAATATCTAATAACGGTGAACTTAGGCTGTTACAAATGGTATCAGAGCGAGACTACGGGTGGTGTGCCAACAAGGACGCTAGGCCTCAGGGAGTGGATTATGAGAACCCACATCAGTTGGAGAGGGGAACGAAACATTCCTTATAAGGTATAGAAAACCTCTCTCTAGTAGACGCATAATGGGGAAGCCCACAAGGGAAAACTCAAAAACCTTGAGGAGCGCGAAAGGGAAAGCCCAAAGAGGACAATATCTACTAATGGTGAACTTGGCCTGTTACAGTGTAAGGAGTGGGGAAGCAGCTTGTTCGATTATCATATTTGATTTGTTTGAAATAAGGGTTCCACGAATCAGGATCCTAGGAGCAAGAATTTCTCCATACGACCTATCACGGACACAGAGTAACGTAAAGTCTTACATTGAAGTCATTTGATACTTACGAAATGAAAAGAATGTGAAGTAAAAGTAAACCTTTTTTGCATCTTTCTCATAAACGGCATAAAAAAGGTCGAGCAGCCGCTCTCTAGTGAAGGATTTGATTTCCCCCATCATGCCAAAATCATAATATATGATTGCTTCATCAACATCAATAGCAAGATTTCCCGGATGAGGATCCGCATGAAAGAAACCAGTCTTCAGTATCTGAAAGATTAAGTATGCTTTGACTAAATCATAATAGAACGGCTTTCATCATATTCACTGCCAGAAATAGCTAATAATATGGATCAGTTTATATCAGACTGACAGACCAGACCTGAATTAAGTATGCTTCAATGGCATGTGATGAAATTTGAGAGCGACTAAAGCCACGTGAGTCTAGAACATTCAGCTGATTTATCTTAACCCCTACAAATAGGATAGCAATGTTATTCTTAAGTAACACTGAAACATGCCAAAATATGATTGTGTTGTGATATTTCAGAAACGCATTGCTCGGGGTCAAACCTGGTACATACTCCAAAGTCAATACCTTCAAAGCAGTGTAGTCCCAAAAGACAAGCTACAAGAAGAAAGAGGAAGTTTATTTAGTTAAGACTTGTATAGCAAATTTTAGTTCTGTACGTAAGATAAGTATCGATGAATGACTTATGTATGAAGAAACGTACGGGTACTCGAACCCACTTTATATTACGAAAATCCCTGCGGAATCTATCAGCATTTTTGCCTTCATTTATGTAGTCAATTTCTTGATACAAAATACTGCAACCATGAATCAGAAAGTGAGTCAAAAATTAATCAAAACATCATAATTAGCATCGTTTAATGAAGAAAAATGAGCTATAGTTTATGCACACAAAAAACTCATGATGAACCAACATGGGGACATCTCCCTTAGAAGGGTGCAAATTAAGGAAACTTCAATAAAGTCATGAAGTCCAGCTAAAATGAATAATACACTATACAGCACATGAAATATCATCTTAGATGACTGAAAAAACAAGTGCATACTCCTCAATCAGAAACTTTTAGTGCTCTTAATAGGCTACCGCGTGAAGAATCATGTGTTGAGGATTGTTGGAAGGGAGTCCCACATTGGCTAATTAAGGGGGAAGATCATGGGTTTATAAGTAAGGAATACATCTCCATTGGTATGCAGCGTTTTGGAGAAACCAAAAACAAAACCATGAGAGGTATTGTTGAAAATGGAGAATATTATACTATTGTGGAGGGTCATGATTCCTAACATGGTATCAAGGTCATGCCCTTAATTTAGATGTCAATAAAATCCTCAAATGTCGAACAAAGAAGTTGTGAGCCTCGAATGTTAGTAAAAAATGACTCAAGTGTTGAACAAAGGGTGTACTTTGTTCGAGTGCTCCAAAGAAAGGAGTCGAGCCTCGATTTAGGAGAGGCTATTCGATGGCTACATAGGTCTCAGGGGAGGCTCTATGGTGTACTTTGTTCGTAAGGAGGATTGTTGAGATTGTTGGGAGGGAGTTCCACATTGGCTAATTTAGAGAATAATCATGGGTTTATAAGTAAGGAATACATCTCCATTGAAATGAGGCATTTTGGGGAAACCAAAAACAAAACCATGAGAGCTTATGCTCAAATTGGACAATATCATACCATTGTGGAGGGTCGTGATTCCTAACATCATGATTTCAGTGTATTTATATAGATGTCTCCAGCACACAATAACACCAATTCATTTTATTACAATGAAAGATATTCGCTAAAATAAGCTTACTACTTACGTAGCACATTCTTCGTATATACCAATCCAATCTCTTGTAGAGCCACCAAAGGTTTCACTTCTTTGAAAATATTCTGCAATTAGCTTCAAATTCTCTGTTGATGACATACAAACAATAGTAAAACTCAAAATGTAACCTGAATGGCACATGTCTCGAACTCAACGTCCAAATTACATAATCGAGTCCGACCAATCAGCTGAAAAGAACTGGCGTTTTATTATCTCCAGAAAACTCGATAAAAGTTGAATTCTTACTCAGGTCAATGTCAAAAAGCTTCTTGAGACCAGGTCTTTGAACTTTGATGACCACCCTCTCTCCATTATGCAGTATTGCACGATGGACCTAAAGACAATATTACTCAAATTAATGCTGAAGAAACTAGACTTGAACTAAATGCAGGTAACTATCACTTTTTTAATGCACCTGGCCAAGGCTTGCTGCAGCAATAGGACGGTCCTCAAATTCTTTGAACAAAGTATCGATCGGGGCACCCAGCTCACTCTCAATGAACCCTCTAGCTTTTTCTGGAGAGAATGCAGGGACTTTATCCTGATTACACAATATCAGAAACACAAATCTTCTGATTGTTATTCAGCAGTGTATCACACCATTCTGTAATTTCGATATCTGAATATCCTTGTGACACGAAGGCTATAGCCATTTGGAAATTCAATTAAAATAGTACTGATACCTGTAACTTAGCTAGCTCGTCCACATACTCACGAGGAAATAGATCCGACCTTGTTGAGGAGAGCTGTCCAAGCTTGATAAAAGTAGGACCAAGCTGCAGCACACGCTCCCGCAGCCAAGACGCGGTCTTTTGCCTTCTTTTTTTCTGGATGGGGAGAGTGATGATAGAATTAAAGGAGCATACTATATTCTAGTCTAGAAAATCATAAAACGAACATGAAATGAGGTAATTTAAGAGATAACTAACAACCACATGAAAGTATTCAACCTGCTTGTCTTCTGAGAAGCCTTCTGCATACGTCCATTTTGCATTTTCCAAGAAAACACGAACCCGTAAGGAAACGATGAAACTCCAAACATCGATACTCCTTTGCACAGAGTTATAATTTTCATTAGCCCAACTGAAACCTTCATCTGAGGGCAAAATTTTAAGGTCCTCAAGTGGTGGAAGCTTTTGGGAGTCTATAACATTCGTTCTCTTAATCAACGGACGAGACGGGCTGCGCTTAATTATACTTGCCCCATTGATAGCCTGCCTTTTGCCATTTATTTTCTCCACTTTATCGGCAGATACACCCTTTGTTTTCACTACTTCATTTATAGGTGCCATCTTAACAGCTCTTCCATAGGTGCTTAACCTTGGAGGCGATGTATTATGCTGCAATTCATTGCCAATCCTTAAATGTCGAGAACGTGGAGGATTCCAAGTCGACTTCTCGATCTTGTTGAATGTATTAAGTGAAATTGATCTTGAAAAACACAGATCATAAGCTTGTCTCCCTTTTCCCTCATTTAACTTTGCTTCGCAGAAATAACAGCTGTGGGAAGCCAGTGTTGCCGCCATCTCTAGCTTGTGAAATGGCTTAACATCAACACAAAACGCATAAGAACGAGCTAATATGTTCCTTGAGATTATAGAGTTTATGGCTGCTCAAAGCATTCGAGCAAAATAATGGTCAGGAATCAAAGAAACTGAAACTCTATCAAATAAATAGCGCGTGAATCTTAGTTTGCTAATTCTGTTCAACATGAATCGATCAAAAAGAGGCGAAAAAAAGTCAAGAATGCCTCGAACTGTTTCGTTTGATCAATCTTTTCAATAATTTCACTGATTCCATCGAGTGAACTCATCACGCACTACAAATTTCCCAGAAAATATGAACAATCCAAATCAAAGTGGCATGAAAATACCCAAAAAATCAAGTGAAATGAACATCGAAGTATCTGAACTCGAATTGAGCAATCTTAAGTGGGACGTGTATCACAAATGCAAGAAGAAAACAAGAAAGATGTGACAGAAACGCTTACTGGGTGCGCCTGTTTTTCCGAATTCTCAGCGTCCAAGCAACTGAAACCAGGAGAGAGGGTCCAAAAATCAAATGGATTAACGATCACAACAGAAATGAAATAGTATCTCCAGAGTTTGAACAATAACCTCTCAGATTCTTGGTGCGTATTAGAGTCAGATAGCGGTGGCCATCTTGTCCGTTTCTACTGGTGGCCACTGTGGTCGTTGAGCGGCTTGAGCCATTGTTTGATGAACACGGAATGCGTGGCCACCTATGAACCTGTGATTTCGAGCTAGCTTGTGGTGGGAAACGAGGGCCCTTCGCGTCAACAAAATTATTTATTTATTTAATTCGAAATATAAAAGAAAATTGTGTTTAGATTTTACAAAGGTGGGTATAATATTTTATGCCATCCTACTAATTTTTTTTATCTTAAATTATATAATATTTTAATACTAATTCAATTTAACCATAATTTAACTTATTTCCACCCTCCTAATAAAAAATTATTCGACTATTAAAATTTATGATATTAATAAAAATACTTCTAAACTTTATATTTTATCTTTAAAATACTCTTCAACTTTTAAAATTTTCAATAATACTCTTAATATTTTTAAAAAATCTTAAAATATTTTTATTCTTAAGTTTTAGATGAAAACGGTTAATACTTTATCTCAAAAATGTTTAAAAAATACCCAACACTTAATATCTTTATTTCAAAACTATCCAATATAAGAAAATTAAAAATTTGGATGTATTTTTAGACAAAAATACAAAATTTAAAGAACATTTTTATTAATTTATGCTTTGCCCGCCACTCGTGTAGGCTTAATACTCCTTAACTCGGCTAAATTGGTTTAAAGACGACCAAATATATATTTAATACCTTAAAAAAATATTATTTGAGTTTTGAATTTGGATAATATTTTAAAGATTTAACACCTACCAACTCACCCAAACACCCCATTATTGTTTAATTTTAAGATATATCTAAGTATTTTTATTTGTTTAATGGTATTTATTTTATTTTTTAAATTCATAAATATCTTTTTAATTTAGCATTGTAAAAGTATTTGTTTAAATTTAAACAATTAAAAATAATTCGATTTAATTCTCTTATTAAAATTTAAGTCTTAATTTTTTTTATTTATGAACATCAAAAAAAAAAAAATAATTAGACACGGATATGTTATAAGTTGGAAAGTGTAAAACATTAATTATTATTTTTAACCTTAAAAAATAGAATTAAAATTGGGATACAAATTATTTATGTGTCCATATGACTCATAGGTTCACTCATAGTTTGGTCAATTTGGACTACCAAACTCAAATCATAAACATGGACGGAGTTATATTATTTTTTAATTTGGATTAAGTTTAATTTTTTGAAAAGTTGAAAATAGGTTAACACGACGAACTCGAAAATAGAGTAATAGCCCAATCCAACCCTAATTTACTATTAAGATTATTTGACGTTTGTTGACAATATTAGTGATGCGTTGTTACTCGTGAATGTTTAATGAATCTTGAATAAGTATAATTATTATGACTGTGACAACGTTATAAACTTATAAGTTAAATCTCAATTACCGAATAATTACTTTATAACAACTGGGTTAAATTATTAAATTATTTTTTAAAAATATATCATTTATACCAAATTTATAATTTAGATTAAAATTAACCCGATAAACCTCCACTCGGCACTCAGCATGGAAATGGCCGTGACGTGTACAAATATATTTATATATTTTCTATATTTTTTTTTATTTTTTTTTTTGTAAATTTTTAATAATTTGTTGAAATTTAAAATTTTGAGTGTTTGAAGTTTAAACTTTTAATATAGTATTTAATAATTTTTTAAACTGTCGTTATCATTATCGAATTTAAATAATAAACCAGTTGATGTTATAATTAATTATTTTTTTTAAAAAATATACAAAATTTATTTGAGTTAAAAATAATTTTGAGTGGGACATTATCTAATTAATCCAATTAATTTAGGTCGCATCAGAGGGCATTGGTATCTGGTGAGGATTATCACCAATTAGAAGACGACAATATATTATTTGTCGCATTAATCAGGTTTAGGGCCACAGTTAATTAACCATCTTTTTTTTAATTAATTACTTTATTTTAAATTTAGTGTAAATACGCGTGCCAAAGGCTGCCCTAGTCACACTCGACGCCATTGCTATCTGCCGATTGAGCTCTGGACTTTCCAAATGGCTCCGATGAACGGAAAATGGACCAAGGTCAGTCCCTTAACCTAATTAAACTCATTGATTCAATCTTCAATTCACCATTTTCTGAATTCATCTTCATAATTTCACTTCTATTGCCTCAAATTTCATTTACTATTCGAAATCTTGATCAATTTGTTGCAGATCGATCAAAACGGCGCAGGACCAGGCGCAAGAAGCTCTCACGCGATCACAATCGTAGGGAAAAAGGCCTACGCCTTCGGCGGCGAGTTTTCGCCGCGGATCCCCGTCGACAACAAACTCCACGTCTTCGATCTCGACGAACACACCTGGACGGTCGCTTCTGTCTCCGGCGACGTTCCTCCCCCGCGTGTTGGCGTCACGATGGACGCCGTCGGCCAAATCGTATACGTCTTCGGCGGTAGGGATTTGGAGCATAAGGAGCTCAACGAACTCTACTCTTTCGACACATCGATCAACAAATGGACGCTGCTCTCTGGCGGCGAGTCCGGACCGCCTCACCGGAGCTACCACTCCACCACCGCTGATGACCGCCGTGTCTACATCTTCGGCGGATGCGGCAACTCCGGCCGCCTCAATGACTTATGGGCTTACGATACGATAGATGGAAAATGGATCGAGTATCCGTCGGCAGGGGAGGGGTTAAAGGGCCGAGGTGGGCCGGGCTTAGCTGTGGCCCAAAGGAAAATATGGGTCGTGTACGGATTCGCGGGTATGGAAATGGACGACGTACACTACTTCGATCCGGCCCAAAACAAATGGGCCCAAGTTGAGACGACAGGGGAAAGACCCACGCCTCGGAGCGTGTTCTCCACGTGCGCGATTGGGAAGTACGTGTATATCTACGGTGGGGAAGTGGACCCCAGTGACTTGGGGCATTTGGGCGCCGGAAAGTTCGCGGGAGAGGTGTATGTGTTGGACACGGAGGCGTTGGAGTGGAGTAGAGTGGAAGATGGGCTGGGCTTGGAGAATCATCCTGGGCCGAGAGGGTGGTGCGCGTTTTCAGTGGGCCGGAAGGGAGGGGAATTGGGCCTTCTGGTTTATGGGGGAAATTCGCCGAGCAATGATCGGCTGGGGGATATCTATTTTTTCACTCCTGTGTGAGCGAGAATGGTAAATGCAGTTGACGGTGGTGATTTGATGGATTACGATGATGGGTGTGATTATATGTGTGTATTTCGAGTTTTTTTTTAAAAAAAAAAAATTTAAATAAAAGGCTTGATTAGCATCTTGAAATTAAATCTTTTGTTAAATTTAAAACGAATATTAAGCGATATGAAATATAAAATATATTAATGAGTAATAATTGGAAGTGGGTAGCTTGAACGAGGGCTTATCGTTTCCTTGTGACTCCAAATATCATGTTCGACTTCAGCATTAGTAACTTAATTTCATTTCAACGCATTTTGCTTCAACAACATTCAAATGGTTCACGGTTCTTGATGCTGATTTGCAATTAGTTCACATTTTCTCTCTCCATAGATCTTTGTCTACCATCATTGTTGCAATGTTAGTACCATAGTTCATTGTCACTATTAGTAAGTTTAGGCAAAAATCGTGTGTTACACACAATTAAACTCAAAGGTAAACACAATTTTATTGAATGATTCAGCTTAATTATGACAAACCCTAAATAAACATAAACCACCAACCACCAACCACCGGACATTTTTAGGTGCAAAAAGGAATAAAAAGGAGGCAAATTTGAAAAGAAATTTGCTGTCAGTCTCCGCCTTTGTCTTTCCTTAATAAAACCCAAACCAACCAAAATAACCATTGTAGAGCCTTTCTACTGTCACTCCAAAACAGAATAAAAGCATTGAATTGACCAATCTGTATGGATAGTGTTTCATTTTCATATTTTCATTTATTTTTTTATTTCCCTTTTCCATTTCATACTCATGATTTATCCACTTTTTATTTAATATGCAACTACCCTCACTAAAGTATACCTAGAAATATAAAATTCTATCCACTTTTTATTTAATATGCAACTACCCTAACTAAAGTATACCTAGAAATATAAAATTCTGCCCTCAAAATATGAAATCATGCACCAATTTCAGTTCACGATCGATCCTCTTTATTGGTACTGGCCGACCCTATTTATTAAAACTAAAAGTTTAGTGGATTAATTTTGTACCGGGAGGTTAGTGGTGTCCAAATGATCCCTCTTACCCACAAGATACACAAATTACATTTATATATAAGGGAAAAAAAGGAAGAGTAAAGAAAAATAGAGAAATTTGGCAGAAACCCTCAAAGGAAGGAAGAAAAAAAAAATTATTATTAACTTCCTAAAAAGTCATCAATGATGCTCAAAAGTTGGAGAACCTTTTATTAGTGTCCAACTAGCAACCACTTAGCTTGACCTTGCAGCAGAGTCCACATCGTCACCGCCACCACCGCTGGAACTATCGGTGTCCGGTGCCGGAACCACCATTTCCTCCCTTCCCGCCGCCGATTCCCATGTGGTGAAATCCACCACTGCCATAAACACCACCCTGATGATGCACCATCATCATCATCCCACCATACATTCCACCCACTCCGTTGAATCCACCGCCGCTAACACCACCACCAGTACCAGGGTTGACTCCACCACCACCACCACCACCAACATTTGCCCCACTTCCGCCGGGCCCACCACCACCACCACCACCGTCTTTTTCCCCTTTTCCTCCCCCCATAGTGCTCTTTTCTCCTTCCATTTCCCTGTACTTCTGCAGATATGACTTGAGCGGTTCCACATACTCTTCGAATCCTAGCGTCGTCATGGCCCACAGCAAATCGTCGCCGTTGATTGTCTTCCTCTTCTCTCTCTGGCACTTGTCCGATGCCTCTCCCGTTATGAAGCTTATGAACTCCGATACGCACTCTTGTACAGTTTCTTTCGCATCTTTCGAGATCTTCGCGTTTGCTGGTAGCGCCTTCTTCATGATCCTGCTCACGTTCGCTATCGGCAAGAATCTGTCCTGTTCCTTCGCCGATAGCTCGCTGTTCGCGTTGCTGTTGTGACCTCCCGATTCGTTATCCGAATCCGCCATTTCCTAATCTTAAAAAACACGCCTATCTCACAGTAATTTTTAATTCTTCGACTCTGCTAATTTCTCAATCTCACAACAATTTCCTCATCCTAGGGCTCCTGAAAGTACACTTCAACGACATATAGCTCTAAAACTTTTCTTCTCTCGATCCGTTCTCACAAGAACGATGCCGAAAACTTTCTTTAACAATCAATTTAGGTAGAAGAGGATTACGAATCCGTCCATTTTTCGCTATAAAAATTGACGGATACGAATCATCCTCTCACAGAACAAAATAGAAAGAAAGTAGTAGAGAAATCGAATAGCTAATCTCAGTTGACCTAAAACGCATAATTGCAAATCCAGAATCGCATTACAAAACAACAAATCTTCTTCATCAGTGAAGTTCTTCTTCTGCGCCGGAAACTTCTCGACTTAAATAATAATAATAAGACAAACTCCGTCAACAAATTGAAAAAGAATCAGATACGAGAAGCGATATTCCAGCGCCCGCGACTCGAACGGAAAAGAACGGTCAATAATCCTGCAGTTGAAGAGACACGAAGAAAAATCGAATTGCATTAAGAGAGAGAAGATGAACGATTACTGCCGAGTTCAGTTTTTCAGTCAAGGATTGACTAGAATATTTACGGACGCCGGAGCCGGAGTTCTGAAGGAGAATCGGGAAAGTTGCCGCCGGAGAAGAAACACCCAAGAGAACAAGGTGAAGGGTACTGAGGGAAGGGGAGTTTGTTAGAGTCCGTCGCGTCGTTTGGGCTAATAATGCAATCGGGAGCGACACGTGTTTAGTTGCTCACCGTTTATTTGTCGATAAGAGTGCGCTTCGTGGAGGTTTCTCCAACGTTGGATTGTCTAATAAATAGCGAGATCTAACGGCCTGAATTCCGCTACGTGGCGGGAATGATTTGGCTTTTTGTTCGTTTAATTTTCCGTTAGAATAACTACAAAGAACAAATCCTGTATTTTTTAAATATCTCGGCTCAGCGCTAGTTCTTAGCCAGTAGTTTAATTTTTTTTTAAGCCAGATATAATTTTAATTTAAAATCTAATTTTTAAGAAATTAAATTAATTATTTAAAATCATAAATGCTCTCTAAATAAATTAATTATACATATTTTTTTTTTAATAAATTCTAACATAATTATTACATAATCCATCTTGTAATTAGCACGTCATTCCACCAAAAAAAGTCCACGTGTCAAACAATTTTCCATGGAAATATAAAATATCTTTAGGCGGTAGATAAATATCATGAATCTTAACATTATGTGACATGTATTTTTGTTTTATTATATGGTTTGAATCATTGATTTGATATAGTAATAACGAAAATAGTATAAAGGAAAACAATAAATATCTAATTTTATTTGCCCCATACATTATAATTGCTCCAAGATATTTTTCTCTCTCTTACCAATATTGTAGATATATAATCATGTTCTTAATAAAATTTTAATTAAGACGTAAAATAATGAATATTGTTACTATATGATTGTTGTCAAAATTTGGATATGATAAAGCATTTGGTTGTCACGTGTCAACAACGGTAAAATTTATTAGAGGAAGAAGAGTATGATCTACGAAACAAAACTTGCACACGCTTACACGATAAGATAGATAAATAACCATACATGAAGAATCGGACCACACTTCACATTAGCTTCAAGTTGAGGTGACGGGTAATATACTCGAGCAAATATGCCACAAAGATACTTGCACTAGCATGATTTTATGGCCAACACTTTTTTAATGTTTAAATCATTAGGCCAAAACTAAATAATCTTGATGGAATATCTTTATGATAGGAAGGATATTTTCTATTTATACCTTTCCTAACTAGATTATCATTGAAATGACACATAATTGAAGCGGACAACATCTATTGACAGTGGGTTTGAGCTGTTATAAATGATATCAGAGCTAGACATTGAGGGTGTGCCAACGATGTTGGGCCCAAGACGGGTGAATTGTGAGATACCATATCCGTTGGAAAAGGGTAACGAAACATTTCTCATAAGAAACGTAGAAATCTCTCCCTAACATATGAGTTTTAAAACTATGAGGCCAACGATACGTAACTAACCAAAGTTAACGGTATCGATTAGGGTTGGCACTGGGGCTCGAGTTCTAGGTTTTTAACGATTTTAAATTATTTTTCATTGATTGGATTAAAACTGTAAGCCAGTGATTAAAAACACCAAATCCACAAGAATAAATCTAATTTAAATCACGCAAATGAAATATCAAAACCCATTTACAGTAATAAATCACCAAAATTACTGTTTTTATTTTTACTTTTTATTTCCCTGCTTCAATTTCAAACCTTGAATACTTAATGGAGCCGATCGATATGTCGATCTCGATCAAATTCTCCTCCTCATTGATGTCGTTAATTTCAGCCAACAGCTCCATAAGATTCTTCTTCGGCCTCTCAAATTCCGGTAGCTCCTGGTAACAAGACGACATGTCGTCCTCTTCTTCTCCTTCCTCTTCCTCGTCCTCGAACTCGTGGCTGACGTAATGACCAGTCGGGAGAGAGATCTCGATCAAACTTTCCTCGTCGGAAATCGAACCCTCCTCGGACTGGTCTAGGGTTTTTGCCGTAAACCGGTCGAAAGCCCCCCACCCCACTTCGGAGTCCTCGGTGGTTGTGAAATTATCGTCGGCACATTCACTCTCCGACAGGAAACCTCCGTCCGCCGGCGAGGATTGCCGATCAGAGACAAAAATCACTTCCTTTTCTTCTTCTTCGATTAATTTCTCAATCGGAAATGAATTTCTTTTGGCGATTGAAAAATAAAGCATAGATATAATCAGAGGTATTGAGGTAAATAAAAGAGATGAGAATCCCAAAAAACCCCAAGAGAGGAGAAAAAAAGTGAAAGAAATTAACCAAATTAATGGGTTTCTCAAAGAAAGATCAGCCATTTGATCCTAGTAATTTTCTCGGGAAAAAAGGTGAAATATTTTCTCAGGAAACAAACAGGGTTGAGAAAGACTCCATTTTTATGAACATGAAGAAGATGATCATATGGGTTGTGTAATGTGGTGGGTTGAGGATGAAAGTTTTTAAAAAATTTTTGGTGGTGTTATTCCGCAAGTGATTCTCTTGAAAACCCCAAAACCTCTGGAAATTAGAGAGATGGCATGTGCTAATCTCTGTGCTCACCACATGGCGTCCCCTGCCCCTCCCGACAGCCATTTTTTTGAATCTTTTACTGCTAACACCATCAATAAAACCTAGCTGAGAATCCATTTAGGCTAAAATTTGACTAAAAATGGCCAAATTCTTGCATACCCACGAGATGGATTGTGAAGTTTTGTCCAAAGTTTGAAGCTTTATGGAGTTTTAATGATGATTTTGAGTAGGTTTTTTGTGATCTTTGGCATAAGTATGTTGTTACCAAGCTTTTTTAGGGTCTCCCATGGCCGACCGGCTGCGGTCGGTGGGGCACTTTCGCTGAAGGTCGGCTCATATTGGTGTTCTTCTAATCATGTTCATTACCCAGCTTCAATTTGACGGTCTCTTTTTTTTTTTTTTTTTTTTTTTCTTCTCTCTCTCTTCTTGAATGGAAAAGGTAAAGCCAAAGTTGAATTGTGAATCAGTTTCTTGTTAAGCTAATTTGAGATCACACATGGATTGGAGAAGGAACGAAACATTTTTTATAAGGGTGTGGAAACCTTTCTGAGTAGATGCGTTTTAAAACCTTGAGGGACTAAAGCAGACAGTATCTAGTAGTAGTAGGATAAGCTATTACAAATGGTATAGATCAACTAGGCACCGTGCGGTGTGTTAGTGAGGACGCTTGGTCCCCAAAGGGGTGGATTGTGAGATCCCACATCGGTTGGAGAGGAAACTGTGGATTGTGAGATCTCATATTAGTTGGAGAGGGGAACGAAACATTTTTTTTATAAAGGTATGGAAACCTCTCCCTAGTAGACGTGTTTTAAAACTGTGAGGTTGATGACGATAGGTACTAGACTATAACGAACAATATTTGCTAACGGAGAATAGGGTTGAAGATGAATGGATAAATTCCAAAATTGTTTATATGAAAGAGAGTTTGGAAGAGGGTTGTAGTTTTTGTGTGTGGTGTGATCTTAATTAATGTTAGCGAGGTTGAAACATGTATAACCTAATTACTTAAAAGAAAAGGTGTGTTGGACGTTGAAACACGTTCATTTTGAGCACAGGTTCTCATAGTTATGTGAGACTTTTAGAACATCACGAATGACAAGACAATTATGAGAATGACAATGACATAAACGAGTCAACGTCATATCTGAATAAGAACGATCCCAATACTGTAATAAAAACTTCATCTGAGTGAACTTTACTTTAGAGCGATCATATATTGGGTGACCTTCAAGAAAAGACGTCGAAAGGACGATTAGTGACTGATGTTACTTTATAGGGAACAATTTTTCGTTCTCACAACGCAACAGATAAGTAAAGCGTATCGAATCCTGCTTTGATATTATTTTTTGGAGTTTTGCGATGGATCGACGTGTTTTGTGATGTTATAGGTTTTAGGGTTTTGATTTGAATAGCCACCTGTCGGCCAATTGCACAAATAAAGCAGTGCCATAGGACATGAAACCCTAATAAGCTCAAGGAATTGAGTACAAGGAAAGAGAAGAGGAAGAAGAGAAGACATTGGGAACAAACTCAAACCCTAAAAATAAAGCTATAAAATGGGGAATGGTTTCGAGCTTTGAGTAACTTTGCCTTGAAACAAGGAATGTGATGAACAAAACCAGCAAGCTTCCTTGGAGATTGTGACTTGGGAATGTTTTGGATGCCCATTTCCATTCATCAAATTGGGAGGGGACCATATCTTACTTAATTTCTTTTGTTTCCCGAGACCCGTATTCTTTCATCCAAATACGTTACGACTCGTAACGTCGAAGTAAAATTTGGGTTACATGCCTCGAAATTACATCTAAATGAGAGTAATTCTATGTCCGAGTAAAATTAGGGTTACATGAGCCAAGAACACATTTAAATGAAAGTAATATACTAAAAGATCCCGTGTTTGAGGGTTCCAAAAGTCACCAAAAAAGTTTTCTTTTGATCGAGTCACCGAGAAAATTCTCACGAGCTCACCCAACAAAGAACTGTTCCAAGCTAAGCATGTTTAACTAAGAATTTTTTACCATTAACTCATCGAAACAAAATGTAACCCTTGTTGTTACAATTTGTCGTTTCTTAGTTCTTGTTCTTTAATTTTTATTTAATTTTTATACGAGTAATTTTAGGGTTGGGTGGAAAAAAATAAATAAAAAATTATTATTAATAGAGTACAATAATTATCAAAGTAAAATGCTATTTTTTTAATATAAATTTTTTTAATCAGATACGAATTTCGATATATGACGTGTATTAAAAGATTAAACGAAAAGGGAAAAATGATTTAATCATGTTAATTAGGAAATTAAGTAAAAGGCATAGATTAAAATTAATTAATTAAAATAAGGTGTACTTTTTTATAAAAATAAAATTTATTATTACATGAAAACGTGACAGTACAGACCATTTACTCTAATGTTCCCTACCAACCAACGTAACCTATAATTGTCGCAATTATATAAACAATTTTCCAAATTCATTTTGATTTTTTATATTTAATTTCGATTCCTATAATTTTAAAATTTTAAAATAAGTCTAATGGTTTGTTATTAATTAAAGTATTAATTTCAAAATTAAATGATTAATTAGTTTTGATTTATATTTGTTTTAAAGTAAACAAAAATTAATAATGTATATTAATTTAGTAAAATGATTAATAACAAAATTGTATTTAAAGTCATGAGTAGGGATTAATTGTGTTGGTCATTTGAATTTCATTTAATTGATCATAATACTTTTCTATTAATTAAATTAATAGTGGTAAAATTAAATATTTATTTCCTTTTGTTTTCCAACTAGATAATAAGAAAGAGGATTTATTAAGATTTTAATTAGAAAAAAGAAAAAAAAAAATCAAAATATTATTCTTTTTGGGTTTTGTGAACTTTCCCTCGGTTTTAAAACACATATGCTAAGAGAAGTTTCCATACACTTACAAACAGCGTTTCATTCCTCTCTCCAATTAATGTGGGATCTCACAATTCACCTCCTTTGGGGACCAGTGTCATCGCTGACACTCGTTTTCCTCTCCAATCGACGTGGGATCTCACAATCCGCCCTCCTTCAGGGTTTAGCAGCCTCGCTGACGTACTGCCTAGTGTCCACCATCTTCGAGGCTAGCGTCATTGCTGGCACAATACTTGAAATCTGACTCTCATACCATTTGTAACAATTCAAACTCACTGCTAATAGATATAGTCATCTTTGGATTTTTCCTTTCGTGGCCCAGTGTACTCACTGGCACACCCTATCTTTTTTATATTTTATGGTATTGCTATTTGCTCCTTCAACTTCTTGATTTTTGCTATTCTATCCCTCACTGTATTTACTCTTAAATCTACTATGCTCGACAATGTTCATGTCACACGCTCAAAGGCACCCAACCTCAGTCAACCTTACATGTTCTATTATCTCACCGCTGATCTCAAGCCAACTCAAGTTAGAAAGGCAACGTCACTCACCAACTAAAACCCTAAACGTGGGTAGCGGTTCTCAACCTGGGTAAAAGAGTAAAAACAATATAGGAGTATGACGTGGAGTGAAATTATTGGTGGATGGGAAGGGCATAAACGACCAAGAAGAGTTCGCAACTGTACGAAAAAACGAAGTTTTTAATTATGTTTAATTATAAATAAAGTCTCCACTCTCCACCCGCGCCCCCCCTGGTATCTTCCAGATTTATTGGAGATTAAAAACTTACCCCCCCCCCCCCCCCCCCCCCCCCCCCCCCCCCCCCCCCCCCCCCCCCCCCCCCCCCCCCCCCCCCCCCCCCCCCCCCCCCCCCCCCCCCCCCTCCCCCCCTCTTCCTAGCAAAAGAGGGTAGGGGATGGGAAGAGAAAGAACCCAAAAAGGAAGAGGGAAAATTGGAGGTGTTCCTTCCGATTCAGTGTTTTATGAATTAAAATTGTGTAATATGTAGAGCAGATTCATGGGTCGAAGTTATGGTGCGTTCATTTCTTAACTCAATTCTCGATTTGGGTGCTTGTTTTTGCTGCAATTCTTCCTCATAATTGGGTTGTTTCTTCTTTTCTTCTTCTTTTCTTGAAATCTTGCGTTTGTTGTGATGAGTGATTGATATCTGAACTGGGTTTTGCTTTGTTTTTGTTTTGAAGTGGGTCGTGAATGCTAGGGAAAGGGATTGAGAAGATGGGGAACACCCTACTGCTCAATTGAATTATGAGAACACGAAAAGTGTGGTGAACCAATACTTGAGTATTCTGTGGGTTTTGTTGATACTCATCTTGTGCCTTTCGTCTCCCCAGTAGAGGTATGCCTTAATTTGTTTCAATAGAATCTGGATGCTGGGTTTTGTTTTCCTCCCTTTCATTGCATTTATGAACAAAACAGAAGAAAAATGTGTATACATGTATAAGAGTTGGATGTCTGGCTTGCTTGTTTGGTGTATGCTGTAATAGCTCAATCTCGTTGTCTTGTTTGGGCTTTCCCCTCAAGGTTTTAAAACGTGTCAATTAGTGTCTCACACCCATCTGGTGGCTTGCTCTGATACCATTTGTAACAGCCCAAATCCACTGATAATAAATGTTGTTCGCTTTGGCATGTACGTATCGGTGTTAACCTCACGGTTTTAAAACGTGTCTACTAGGCAGAGGTTTTCACATCTATATAAGGAATGTTTTGTTCCCCTCTCCAACCGATATGGGATCTCACAATCCACCCTACTTGGGGGCTCAGTGTCCTCGCTGGCACACTGCTCGGTATCTGGCTGTGATACCATTTGTAACAGCCCTCACCCTTACTCTTCAACCGATGTGCGATCTCATAATCCACCTCTTGGGGACCCAGCGTCCTCCTTGGCACATCGCCCGGTTTCTAGCTCTGATACCATTTGTAATAACTCAAGCCCACTACTAGCAATTATTGTCCTATTTGGATTTTCCCTTCTGGACTTCTCTTCAAGGTTTTAAAATGCGTCCACTATGGAGAGGGTCTGTCCCTACTCTGACTAGTGTCTCGCACCGTCTAGTGGCTGACTTTGATACTATTTGTAACAGCCCAAACCCACAACTAACAGATATTATCTACTTTGGCCCATTACGTATTGTCGTCAGCCTCACGATTTTAAAATGTGTCTATTAGGGAGAGGTTTCCAAACCTTTATAAGGAATGTTTCGTTTCCCTCTCCAACTGATCTCACAATGCTATGCTAGTTATGAGTTTTGGATTCTAAATGATTTTCCACTTGATGTAAATTATGGTGTTTTAACAGTAACAATGAGTGCAAAAGTACTTGTGGCAGACGTACTTTCTGCTTTTGTTTGGAACTTCTCAAAGTTCCACAGAATTCAAGGATTAAGTACAATTGTGTTCCTTTTAGTTTCTGATGATAAACTGTATTTGACGACATTATTGACATGTTAATTACTTTTTTGAGGCTTAAAGGTCATAATACAATGAATGATGAGGAAGTGTTGAACACACCAAGGACATCTGTGAAGTTCTCTTGGAACCATGGTGGCAAGCAAGTGGCTATCATTGGGTCGTGGGATAACTGGGAGACAAGGTACTATTTTGCAGTTAAGATGTTTTATTTTGAACTTTTTTTGTCTGACATAGAACATTTCATCTCCTTTTGTTAGGGAGATCTTGCAGAGCATAGGGAAAGATTTTATCGTTGCCAAAACGCTTCCCTCGGGGATCTACCATTACCGATTCATTGTTGATGGATGGTTGACACATGCTCCTGATTTGCCATGGGTTTGTGATGATTCAGGAAATTCTTACAATATTCTTGACTTGATGGTAATTTCTACTGTTCTTTTGTACTTGGATTCTCGGCGTTTGCTCGACAATTCGTTTGTATAGATCTTAAGAAGATGATAAAGTAAACATCTCCTGCAAAGATTGTCCAAAAGAACACTGACCGTGTTCTTGAAATGATATTTGATTTGGCCTGATCTTTTCTAGTTTTAGAGTTTCGAGTTCTACGAGAAATCTGATTGTTCTGTAAAGCTTGAAAGATCAGGGCATCTATCAGAATGAAAAATGTAGGTTCTGGGGAGTTACCATACTTTTAAATCTTCTTTCCCAGAATTCAACTGATTGGAACAGCTAAATTTGCAACTTATTCTTACTTTATTTCTTATCAAAACCTCTTTATGGACTGTTTAGTTAAGATTGTTGGTAAATTCAACTGGGGACTTACCCGCTTAGTGCCTAGCTCTGATACGTAACGGGCCAAAGTGGACATATCTGCTAGTAGTGGGCTTGGGCTGTTACAAATGGTATCAGAACCGGACAATGAGCGGTGTGCATGCTAGGCCTCAAGGGAGTGGATTGCGAGATCTCACATCAGTTGGAGAAGGGAATGAAGCATTCCTTATAAGGGTGTGGAAACCTCTCCCTAGCAGATGCGTTTTAAAACCGTGAGGCTGGTGGCGGTACGTAACGGGCCAAAGCGGATAATATTTGCTAACGATACTTGGGCTGTTACAAATGGTAACAAAGCCAAACCGCTGTCCCCCAAGGGGGGTGGATTATGAGATCTCACGTTAGTTGGAGAGGGGAATGAAGCATTACTTATAAGGGTGTGGAAACCTCTCCCTAGTAGATGTGCTTTAAAACCGTGAGACTGACTGTGATACGGGCCAAAGCGGACAATATTTGTTAGCGGTGTGCTTGGGCGGTCATAGACACAAATCTAGGTACCTAGTTCTCATGTTCATTGCTATGCAGCAAGTTCTGCTGAATCTTATGATATGATGCTTCTTTCATTAGTTTTGGCTCTTCTTTATTGTTACTCTGTTGATTATGGTTGAATCCTTAGAAAAAGCTCTTCATCTGCTCAGTACTAATTTGAATTCATATCGAATTGTCTTACAGACACCTGTCTTGGAATTTCCCGAAAGTCTGTCCGAGTTTGAATTTCCTCCATCCCCACCATCTACTTACGACAACCAATACTTCAACGACGATGATTTCAGTAGGCCTCCACCGGATCTACCACCACAACTGCGAGAGACTATTTTGAACGAATCATCTCGCTGCATAAGTGGTCAGCAGTCTGGCATGCAGCCTCGACACACCGAGTTAAATCATTTATACCAAAATAACGTTGGAGGTGAATTCATGGCACTTGGTTCAACATTCAGGTTATGTGAAAAAAATGTCACAATGTTACTTTTCAAGCCATTGCTGAAAAGAAATTGATAGGGTTTGGTCCACTGTTTTTTTCCTCTTCTAAATTTGTGGCCTGAATGATTATTTATGTGAAGATTATCACTCTAATAGATTGAAGAGTGCTTGAAATAGGATTCATTTCCATGTGTTTTAATATCTGTTCAGTATTGAACTGAGACATCTGCATTTATATAGATTCTTTTCGTATTAGCTTATCGGGAAACCCCTCCGGCCGAAGACTAGTGGTAGGTGGTCCTATAGAGCTTTCGGAGAAGGATAGCCTAGTGTATAAGCACAACAACGAACAGCGGTAAACCCTCAGATGACCTATCTAAGATTAGGGGGAGATCCTTAGTAGTGGTGACCCTTTCATTTTTCACCTCTTCCACAGACTGATACATTGCCTTAAAAGATGACTTTGAGAAAAGAGATGAGACGCTCAACCCATCTTTACAAATACGAGAAATCACTTATGACTGCCTGGTTTTGGATCAAATCAGCTCCTAGGATATGTAAACTCTATTGCTTTTACTTGTGCAATATGTTTCAAGCCCCATTGGAATTGAAATGCTGAATCCATTAAATTGTTCTCAGATGTCTCTGCTTTTCCCTGGATCATGTCATCACCATTCGCTCTATGGCAATGGAGTTCTTCGTCTTTTTTCAACGTTCCGTTCTTTCCGAACTGATTTCTGCCTCCTGTAAATTAATTGAGTTTCGAGTTTTATGCTTCTCTTCGTTTAATTGTTTGTGTTCTTGAAATTAATATCTCGAACATTCTGCAGAGGCACATCAGTTCTTGCTCCAGCAGGATCAAGAAAACAGCTTGGTGTATTGAAATGGGAATGGAAAAGAATCCAAACTCATATGAGCTGACAGACTAACAACAAAATCGAACTGAGTTACAACAGTTTGTATTAGATTCTGGAAGAACATTACAACTCAAAATAGGCATAAACAGTGGGTTTTTGGTGGGCTGTAGAGAAGCAGCAGAGGATCTGAGGTTACTGTCATGGTTGATCAGATTCATCTCACAGGTACTTTAACCCAGCCATTGGCAAAAGCTATGGCTAAGATCACGAAAGGCGTCGACATGCCGAAGATGATGATATAAGGAAGAGGAGTCTTCATGGGATTTTCCCCTTCCCTCTCCCCTGCTGTCTGCCAATACCTGCTCCAAATTCAACCACATTTCCATCTTAAAGCCCTGATGATATCTTCTTCTACTTGAAAAACAACTCCAATTGGTGAAATCCCACGCCGGTTTTAAAACCTTGAGAGAATATCGGCCAGCAGTGGGATTAGGCCATTACAAATTGATACAGAAAAGGGAAAGAATTTCTTACTGCTCTGGCTCTTCTTCTTTGGTTATGAACTTCTTCTTCCCTCCCTTCTTGACCTCGGCGTCGCCACCACCTGAAAAACAACATCAGCAGCTGAAAAACAGCAAGAGTGAGCTGCAGATCCAAGCGAAAGTAGAAGGGCCTTTACCTGAATTTGCAAGAAGTTTGAACTGAGAAGCTCTTGGCTTTGGCTTGGGCGGCGAGAAGGTGGTGCAGGGAAGAGGAGGGAAGAAGGGAGATGGGTTTTGTTGGAGTGGGAATTTGATGGTGGTAAGGGAAGAAGAAAGAGGGAATTTGGCGGCCATTGTTGAAGGAAGAGTGAGCTTTGTTTGGGCATTTGTCGTTGGGGATCACATATATCAATGGAGATTTGGATATGGATGGTGTGGTGTGGCACTCATATTATTATTAGCCAATGCGTTACATGACGACAGCCAAGACCTCTATGGCCCCATCTTCACTTTTCATTGTAATTTGTGGTCACATTTCTATGGAGCCATGAATGTACTTTTATGGTGGTTGAATTGACTCAACCCTTTTTACCCTTTCTATTTCGGAAATCGTATTTGGCACTTAAGGCCCCGACATCTCCGTTGCATTCCCGCGATGTGGTCATACTACCTGCTTTTCACTTTTTGAAACTGAAGACTATCCCCACAAATCAACACGAGTTCTTTTAATATATTTCATCCTCACTCACTTGCATCCTAAGAGATCTGAAAAAATATCTCAACTTCACTTGACCCAACTTAAGAACACCTCTAATAAATTAAACTTAGTTGTTATGTATTTGAAGGTAACTTAATTTTATGATTAATTATTTGGATTAAAAAAATAAAATTGGGTTGAGTTTAAAATTAATCCATATATTTATAATTCATAATCTCACCATATTATTAGTTGATTAAATTGTTAAATTATTTATTTACAAAGTTAAAAAAAAGTTGGGAAGTAATATTTTGATGCCATTTTCAACGTTAAATATTAGCTTAATAATCACTAATATATTTTCTTATAAATATAATTATTCAAAGAATAAGACCTCTCAAATAAATTGCCTTTTATTTTAATTTATTTTTTTGTGTAATGCCACGGTTGGGGGTGCCTTTATTTAATATTCTACTGGGGCTTTGAGAAATCCCACATCGCTTAGGAACACTATTGAGGTATTCTATATTAAGATCAAGGCGGAAGCAACAGCTTGTCCCTTCGGGGACATCTGATAAAATTGGAACGATACAGAGAAGATTAGCATGGCCCCTGCGCAAGGATGACACGCACAAATCGAGAAATGGTCCAAATTTTTTTTTTCTCCTTCCCCTCCTACGCTGGATCTGTAGTCGGAGGATTTCTATTTCATCTTCCCTATTCGAATCGGTTAGTTGTTCTTCGAATCCCTGTTTTTCGCTTTCCTTCGATTTGGCATCTGAATTGAGCTGCAAGTGGATCCAGCAGACAGTTTCTTGAATTTAATACTATCTTATTAGTCGCCAGTTCGATCACAAAACCCTAATTTGTGCGAAAATCATGAGGTTTGTGTGTGTGTGTGTGTGTTTTTTTTTTTTTTTCAGATTTTCCTCTTTGCTGAGATCTGTAACCAGAAATTCTGCATCTGCAAACCCTAATTTGGATGTTTCCTTAGGAAAAAGAAACTGGAATCGAATTCCAATACCTCACCGATCAATCCCGATGCCTAAAGGCCAAGACCTTGATACATAGCCACCTGATTCATTCAAAGGGCTATGTAGTTTTGCTCGAGTTCTTGATCTTCTCATACATTTAGAACTGCAGAATTAATTATGAGGAGTATGTTAGATTCGTTCTCTATTGAGTTTCCTTCGAAGTTCTTTGAATCCTTACTGTACTCCTAGACTGTGATTCTTCCCCAAATGTTTTTGATCTGTTTATTTTTTGAGACTTTTGCTCATTTGGAGAAGTTTAGAAATGGCTCTGATACATTTTTGAAGATGAAGGATTATGGATTTTTACTCACTGTGGAGTCGTGATGTAATGCATTTCTGAGCTCCTTGCTTAATTTCAACAGGGGCGATATTGCTTTGGCGTTCCTCCTGATCTTGGGATTCCTTGCTTAATTCCATTTCTGAGCTCCTTGCTTAGAATTTCAATGGCCAAAAATGTGGTTCCTCCTGATCTTGGGATTATTCAAAAGAGGAAGACAAAGAAACCAGCATTTCTGGTTACAGAGCTTGACACAAAGATGAACTAATATCCAACTCAAAAATCTTCCGTATCTTTGATCCATTGAGCGAGAGCCCTTCCATGCGGAACTCCCGGATCACTATGGGCAACGGAGAGCCCTTCCACACGGAACTCCCGGATCACTATGGGCAACGGAGAGCCCTTCCACACAGAACTCCTGGATCACTATGGGTGACTAGAGATAAGCTTGATGGTGCCATCTTTGACTTGAAATGAAACATATATTCATATCGTCTTTCTTAATCAATTGATTTGCAGTTTTCAGCTAAGGATTATACATCTTATGTTAGCCCTAAAGGAATATTGGCTTGATTACTTGCAACCCTTCATCGCCTCCTTCGAACGGTCGTGGGCTCGCTTTTGCTGTCTGAGACTGGATGATTTCTGGGTTGGTAATACTCTTTCTTCTTCTTCAGAAACTATTTCTTTACATTGGATAGATCAATGGCTACTGAACATCTCGAAACGAAACCAATTGGTTTGGTTGAACATCGATTTTCAAGTCGATTGGTTCAGTTGGTCCATCTTTAGAAAAACCATTGCTGTTGTTGCTCTGTTATCAGTTTAGATCAAAAATCTTGTTGTCTTGGTAGATTCGTATTGATTGATTACTGTTTTGGTTGAATTACATATCTAAGCTGAAGAATTAAAGATTTCTTCAAATGATGTGAAAAGTTAAAGATTTCTTGTCCTCGTACCATATCTAAGCTGAATAACTAGAACCCATTTTTGTAGAAGAGAGAATAGAGTTGGGGGAAGTTCATTCGTTATGCTCATCTGTTATAATGGTCGGTAGTTCCCATATTCTAAGCATTAGAATTATAAATCTCCTCTGTAACAATGGAATCATTGTCTGATAGAAATATTGCCAAATAATACCCGCAGAGAAAACAGTGAAATGAAAACATAAATTGGAAGAAGCTTTGCACGAAGATATGTATATTTTATCTGCGGAACCTCTCTCGTAGAACAATTCTCTCCGTTCGTTAAATGTAGCTAGAGAGAGATTATATTCTCCGTTCCTATCCCTAGCCCCGCCCCCTTTAGTGGTTGTATATTTTTATGTTTTTAACATATATATTCTACATGCATGCATCCAATAGTGATTCTTTAAACCCTTAATAATTGCCTCCTTAAATTAAACGGACTGAAAATACATTGTTCAAAACAATGATGAATCCTATTCTTTTCCTTTTTTTCCCTTGCAAAGAAATTGGGGAAAAGAAAAAGAAAAAAAAAAGAGCATAATAATCTAAATCCCATAAACTCTCCCCTTCTCCTAAACCCCAACAAAAAAAGGAAGAACATCACAACACTCCCACCCACCCACTGCTACAAACCCAACTCCTTCCATACTGTACACGAACCCCCCAAAAAAGACCTCCCAATATACTTCTTCTGCTACCATTGTTAAATTATGCACCAAAATCCCACAAATGTAACCTTCTGTCGAACCCCGACGCTGCCACATACCGGTCGTTGGCAACCATGGCCGTGGCTGCCCCGACCCTCTCCCTAAACCTGTACAGAAACTGTCCATGCTCGATTTCCCAAACTTTCATCGCCCCGCTCGAGTTCATCACTGCATAACCCATGTTGATGCAGCCCATGGCCCCTCTCTGACCCGCCCCACTCACTAAGAACCTGCAAACTTCTTCCATTGTGTCCACTCTTCTTACTATACTCACCCCTTCTCCGTCCACCACAATGTACCTCTCGTTGCTCACATCCATCGACGTTACTATCCTCACCTCCCCATTTTCCTCCTCGTTTAATACCACTTCTTGATCTCTCAAGTCTAATACCATTAGCTGTAACCTTGTGCACGCCACTGCCGATTCCTGGTTCGACACGCGTACTCGACCCACTGGCTCGGTTGGCTCCGTCAGCATGTGCCATCCTGTCACAGCTTCTGGGTCCGTCAGCGACCCGCCAACAAACACGAGCTCCTCCGTGTTTCCATCCCATACATGGAACGTCCGACCAGGTACACCTGCGTAAAGACCAACCCACCATCGGTCACATCCAGCGAAATCCACCAACACACCGTCGTTCATCACATTCCCTTCGCATACCCGACGTGTCGGGGAAACACCATTCATGGCTGCAGCAATGATTCCAACATGGACATCACCATCCACGCTGGCAAACACGAGGCATGCATCGGTGATGACAATCCCAGAGACAGCACGCGAGAATAAGCCAAGACGATCACGATGGTGAGGATGAAACGTCGCGACATGGAGACGCGTGGCAAGGTCGAAAAGGCGAACAGTACCATCAGCAAATCCACATGCCAGGTAATGCAACGAGAGGGCAAGACAACGACACATCAAACCAGCAGGCTCATCCACATCAGATTGATCAAATTGGAGGATCGTATGAAGATATCTACGTCTCCAAAAGTTACACGCCGTAGTATGCCAATAGATGTATTCATCACGCCACGTGTCAAGCAGACGAAAGCTCCGACCCCAAATCTGAGTAGTCAAACGACGCCACAACAGCTCCGACCGAGACACAGCACGCCACATGGAGCAAACCTTGAGAGAAATTGAAAAGAAAGGTTAATAAAACATAATCTCTAAAGTCAAAGCGGCAGAGAAGCAGTCAATGAGAGACAAGAAATGTCAAAGTACAAAAAGATGAGATCTTTGACATGATTACAACAAGAGGGGAACAAATCTCTAAGCATGTGAAGCAAAAAAGGGAGACCCCACAATAAATCACGAGCAGTCAGCACAGGAAACAATGGCAGAACAGGATTGTATGTACATGTACATATATATATATATATATATATAATGAAAGGGAGTGGCAATCCATGCTTGGCGCATATGAGACACAAAAAAAGAAGCAAATTTGAGAAGAAACAAAAAAGGGTACATGAAGAAGTACATGAAATTTGGAGATAATGAAGAAACAGAGGGAGACAGGGTCAAAGATGTGCAGTTTTTGATGAGATGAACATGAAAAAATGTTATGTTTTTTTGTTGCCTTTGAGAAATGAAACAAAGAACATAGATATGAAGTGAGGGAAGAAGATATCTGTTTGTCAGGGAGTGGTCCGGAGTATGAAACAACCTAAAATAATGAACAAAAGAAAGCGAAGCAAAGCAAAACAAACAAAACAAAACAACACAACACAGAACAACAGAACAAAACCCTGTTTTCTTTTCTGTGTTTTGTTAAGAAAGGGTTTTAAAAACATGGGATATTCATTTTCATTTCCAAGAAAGGTGTAAAAACTTTGCCTCTTCTCGTTAAAACCACAGAATCTTTTCCTTCTTTTTCTCTTTCTTTTCTTCTCTCTTCTAGCTTTGACCCGCCTGCCTCACTGCCTATTCAATCCATTCACCTCCCCCAAAGCCGGTGTTTTCTTCTTGAAACTTTCACTTTCGTGCTTCACTACGAGACTTTTACAGCAGTCTGCTAAGAGGAAGTTTCTACCCCCTCGTTAAGAATGTCTCGTTCAACCGATGTGAGGTCTAACAATCCACCACCTTTAGAGCCTCGCGTACTCACTTGACACTCATTATTCTCTCAAACATAAGTGGGATCTCACATCCACCCTGTAAAGGTCTAATGCCTTTGTTGGCACTCGTTTCTCTCTCTAAACAAAGTCAGATCTCATAATCTACTCCATTTAGGGCCCAACATACTCACTTGTACTCATTCATCTCACAATACACCCCCTCAGGACCCAGCATCCCCGCTGGTATTCGCTCCTCTCTCCAATCAAGGTGGAATCTCACAATACACCCCTTTCTCTGCCAACTAATGTTACAAAATGAATATCCACTTTAAGGTATAGTTTGGACATGTTTTGTTACATAAAATGTCATATGTAACCAAACATAACATAGCGACATTAATGTCTTGTATCATATGGTTTGAGACATTAAACAAAGACAACACAATAAATACGATATAGTCTCTCTCTCTTCCTTAAATTACATGGGTTTGTGTTAAAAAGTGGGATGGAAAAGCCATTATTTGCATTCTAGTGATAGAACAACAGAAAGGGCATTAGAATAGATTTGGTGATAGTGAGCCCCATATGGCAGAAACAAAAAAAACTACAAAGAAAAAAGGAAAAGAAATTAAAGCTTTTTGAGTCAAAAAAGTAATGAGGATTTATAGAACAGAAAAGAGATCCATGCCAATAAAGGCAAATTCTACGCCAAAAGACCCCTTTTCTATGAGATATTCTTTGGCCCCAAAAATAGACAATTTTAAAAGCACTTCAATAAAGAACCCACACCAAACCAAAACTTGAAAACGACATTAAAATAGGCAAAAAAAAAAAAAAAAAAAAAAAAAAAAAAAAAAAAACAATAAAAAACCCCTTTTTTTTCAATAAAATTCAAATTTTTGTGATACCCATTTGAAAAAGATTGAAGCTTTGCAATGTATGAAGCATTTCAAGACTTGGGTGGCAAGGAATTATTAAAAACATAAGAGATTTGTTATGATGTTTGTGAAATGAATGGTGGTCAAAGGAAAAACGCTTACTTTTTATTGATGAACAAAATTCCATACACTAAAAAGACAGAGAAGAAAATGGCACCTGGAAGACATTGGAAAGAGCTGCGGCGGCGTGGATTCTGCCGAGAGAGCGAGAGGCATCAATGGCAACTTGAGTAGCAAGTGCTTCTATAAATGGCTCCGGCCAAACCCCATTGGCGGCGCGGCGGCGGGAAGAAGAAGGAGTGTCGAAATCCCCACGAGGTCTCCGCCGTCGGCCGCCGCCGGAGGAGGAGGAAGACATGGAACCAACGGTGAGAAATGGAAGAGGAGGGGAAGTAAGAAGGACAAAAAAGGTGTGGATAAAGACACCAAGTGAGGGTCCCAAAAAGGGCGTTGCGGATTCTTGGATATATATGAACACAAAAAAACATACCAGAACCACCACCCCCACCACGTTTTTCTTTTAATATTTTAAATAATAATAAACTAATTAATTAATTAATTTTTATATGATTTTTATAATTATGAAATGGGGTTTTGATTTTGATTTTGGGGACTGCAAAGACGGCGGCGTTGGGAAGAAGAAAGGAAAAACTGTTGTGTTATGTAAATTACCGATGTTTTTTCAGGTGCTTTTCTATGCGCATTTTTCTCTGCCCTATTGCTTTCAACAATTATTCTTTTTTTTTTTCTTTTTTTTTTCTTTTTTAATTTTACCTCACTCAAAACAATATTATTTTCAAATAAATATACTTTCATAACCCGAGCAACGTTCACAATCCGACCATTCAAAATTATTTATAAGCTACAATCAACCGTTCAAGCCACTTAAGTTTCCACATCTTAAAGAATGTTTTTTCTCCTTTTCAACCGATGTGAGACCTCGTAATCCATCTCTCTTGGAACCAATGTGTTTGTTCCCACATTGCCCCTGACCGATATTGTCCATTTTTGTCCATTACGTATCACTGTCATACTCACGATTTTACATTCTTATAAGAAATGTTTCATTCTACTCTCTAACCGACGTGGGACCGCACAAACTCAACTCAATTTTTATAGTTTGGATAGGTAGATTGGATTTTTATTTTATTTTATTTTAGTTTTATATTTTGGGAGTAAAATGGAACATAAAAGAAATTAGTATGGGGGAGAGATTAATAAATTAATAAATAAATAAATTAATTAATTAATGAAAAAAAGACGTCATGGAAGACTTGGAACTTGAATAGCCGTTTTTTTGTTTATATATATTTATTTTTGGTTGGTAATTACTGGAAATTGTTTGTGGGTTTCTCACATGTTTTATCCTTTTATTAATGCAACCGAACCTCTTTTGGTTTGCTACGTTTTACCCGTTTTTTTTTTTGTCTCTAATATTTTTTTATTTATAATTCATTATTCATTTATTGTATTTAAATTTTATTTTTATTTTAAATTACAGGTTTTATTTTTAATTTTTAAAATTTTAAATTGTTTTAAATTTATAGTTATTATAGACGTAAATTTTATATTTAATAATTTAATTAAGTTTTAAATATTGTGAATATGCTTGAAATTTATTCGCTATTTTTTACATTCGAGTATTTATTATTAATTCATGTAATGCCATATATTGACTAGATATTATAAATATTTATCATTTAATATCATTGACTTAATACATACAAGCATCCTAATTATCATTTAACAACATGAATCCATTTTGTTACCATACAAATATTTTTTCAATAATTATTTAAATGAAAATATAACAAAGAAAATACTCTTAAAAACTTCTTTAAAAAAATACTCTTAAATTTTTAAAAAAGAAAATCATTAATACCAACTTAAAAACAAATACTAATTAAAATACATTTATTATTAGTACTATATTTAAAAATATCCACAAAATTTTAATGCTAGTATTAACATATTTCACCCTTATAAAAAAAAAGTTAAAAAAAAAAATACTACGATTAATAAATGGACGAAAATCGTTTATTGACATCTCATAAATTATCTACAAAAAGTTCTAGGGTTATTTTGAAAAGTTTATAAGTATTTTTTAGTTTTTTTTTAAGTTTTTTAAAAATATATAGGCATTTTTTATGTGGTTAAAAAAAATATTAATAAAAATTTTGAAAATGAGAGATAATAAAAATTATATCGGAAATCTTTTTTAAAAGTTGAAATGTATCTCTGGAATTTTCATCCAGAACTAAATAGAAGTATTTTTTTTTAATTTTTTTAAAAATTTAACGTTATTTTTTAGACCCTTTGCAAATTCAGTATTTTTTTTTTTTTTAGACAAAATACAATATATATATATATATATATATATATATATATTTGGTGGGTTTTTAAAAAAACTAATAGAATATATTATAAAAAGAGAGAAGAGGGGAGGAGGGTTTATTAGGGTTAGAGTGAGAGGTCAAAATCAGTCCTTTAAAATGCAGCTAAGGCTAAGGCTAATAGTAATAGTAATAGGGCTAAATTCAGTCCCATGGCTGCCTCATTGTACCCTCTCTACAGACCTCACCATTTAGCCCACACCTGACTGCTTACGTTTACATTTATTATTTCTTTTTTTAATTTCCTTCTTTTTGGGAATCTAACTCCTCCCCCATCTCAATTACATTTACACCCTTCTCTTCTATTTTTATTTTTTATTTTTTATTTTGTGTTTAATATCTGTATCATAATTAATTAAAAAAAAAAATTAACTATCAGATGTGATATCAGGTGAGATAATAAGAGTATGCGAAGAAGTTTCAAAAATTAAAGAATAACATTTCATACCGTATAATGTAAGAAATAAGAATGATACCTTATTCATGGCCTTCATACTGGCCCAACAGTATTGGGTCAGCCCAATTTCACTCCAGAACTTTCCAGACCCCAATTTAACAATGTGCCCACTATGATATATTATTCGAAAACTACTACCTATACCAACAAAGTATACCTTTCAGGCTCAATCATGAGAATTTCAAGGTTAAGCATATTTTACTAGGAGTGATTTACGACACTTTTTAGGAATTATCTCAAAATGCATGTAAGTGATGATAAAATATCCTAGAAGGACTCGGTGTTGTTATGTATCATCACTAAATCTGGATTTCCAAATCCTAATATATATGTTGAATAATATTTGCAAATGGCTAATGATACGAGAGTATGTATGAAGTATGCTATAGGTAGAATACCTATTTACCCAAGATATAATAGTATGTAGGAATGTTTGTGTATATGATAGACTATATTCATTTAATAATGCCAGTATTTGCAAGACATTATTATCATTAGTTCCCTTACAAGAATTGAAAGAAAGTGAATTTATACCAACCAAATAATTGGATCAATTAAAGCCTTATACTTTGCTTAGTTTCATAACTAAGCAATAAGTGACATACCCATCGAAAATTCAAATCTTTATATTTCGAAAACGGGCATTAATCGTGCAAGATTAATGATTGAATATAGCTCATTCCACTAAATACCCGCTACTGCCATAGAGAACATCCAACAATACATGTTATGAAAAATCAATAATGAAATATGTTTGATTTACAGAAGAAGAGGAGGAAGAAGAGGGGTTTGTGGTTGAAGCAAGGAGAAGCAGTTATGGGGAAGGGAAGATGTCATTATAAGATAAACATTTGATTTTAGAAGGATTGATTGTTATTTGGTTGTTTGTTTTTCAAGTCGTCTTCTGTTTACCTTTTCTATACTTGCTCTTTCGTTTTCTTCATGTTGTTCTCAAGCACTTATCTTTATGTGTTTGGGCACCAACACCCTTCTTTATATCTATTATTTTAGTTAACCCATTATTAATCATCATTCATTTTCTTTCTCTCATCCCTTTTACCCTTCAATTATCATCCTCTTCTTTCTTCTTTTTAATAATTACTTTATTTATTTTTATTTGGAAGTTCGTTCCAGTATCTTATTTCAATCTACTCAATCTTCTATTTTGGAGCGGAACAAACCATACTCTCCTGAGTCATACTCAGATTAAACTTTTTATTTCTCGTATTTACGCGGTTCCGGTTCCTATTCTGGCTGGTTCCCTAGAAAAAGCATAAGATTTCCTATTACTTTTTGTCTAGTATCTTTTATCCATAGTTTTGAGATCAGCTCAAGACAATCCTTAATCATCATTAAGGGGTCTCTTAAGAATGATATTCCAAATACTTTGAAGCCCTTGATTTTACCCTAAAGCATATCAATGGTAATACATTTCCTCTCCAAAATACCCTGGAGCTCGTTTTCTAAGCACTTGATTTATCAATAGTAATACACTTCCTAGAACATATAATCCACTCCCTATTTGATTAAAATAATCTGAACTAATTTCACAGATCACTGTTAAACTTGTTTGTAGCGACCTAGTAATAGTATTTGTTTTTCTGGCTAAAATATAGTAGGTTTTGAAACTTATCAAGACCTATGTTATATGCAAAGAATCGGAAATCTACAGCACTTTTAGTACATAAATAAATTTAAATTCAAAATCGTACAAAAACAAATATCTAAATACAAAACCAAATCACGTGCATATATATTTGACATGAAAGATCAATTTCACAGAATTTCAGGGACCATGGAGGGTAAAACAAAGATATGGAACCAATGGACTATTTACCATTTTTCTATTTTATTGCGTAGGCACACAAAGACTTCAAAGGTAGAAATGTAAACAGATCCAAAGTACAAAATATTTTGCAAATCAGCAAGAGAAAGAAATTGTTGTTCTAAATCTATTACAGAAAAAAAAAATTTACAGCAGAGTGAAAAATGTGACTATTTTGGGATTATAAAAATACTAAGCTTATATAATATAAGTATATCAGTATCTTAGAACGCAAATATATGCATGAAAAATTTAAGAGGGGGGTTGAATATTAAGGTGTGAAGAAGGGTAAAATTACAAGATGTTGATGACAAGAACTCTACAACAAGAAGGTAAGTACGAAAGGCAGTCTTTTTACACCGGGAAGGATAAGCGAGTGAGAAAGGGTAAACGTAAGAATTTGTGTTGGTTTTTGACCTTTAGGGGTTTCTTGTTGTATTGTTGCAATTATTAAGTTCTTCTCAGCAAGACTTGGGAACAGTGCTTTCTCAGATGTGTCCAATAGACAAGTCCAACATGAAACAAAACAACGTCTTCATAAACCCTAAAAGAATATAATATAAAGGTGGGCCATGGGGGTGTCCTAAGAGAATCTCCCACCTCCTTCCCCCAGAACCCAACCTAAAGGGTCTTTTTATAAATCTAAATGTCAATTCTAACACCCAATATAATGATGTTTTATTATATGCTTTCTGTCTCAAAGGACTTGGGGGTTTCCTTTCTGTGCCAACTCCATCAGACAATCAATCAAATGGGCACTGCCCTGTCTATAATTTTCAATAGCTCTTCTCAGACATATTTACATTATTTATTTATTCATCAGTAATTTCTCTGAGGAAACCTATGGTGCTTGTTTCGCTCTGACTTTTCTTCCTGCTCACAAACAACACCTTATTTTCAAACATTTTTTAATGCATTTAGTCGTCTTCTGGTTCACCTTTTTCCCCCCCAAGTGCATAAAGTTCTGTCTATTTTGTTTTTAGTTTTCCAGCATCCATTTCCTCAGTATGATGAGTATATATCACTGTATCATATGATACCCATATGAAAAAGCTGTACGTTTTCTAATAGAAATGAACCATACAACAAGATTCATAATTATAAAAACAATAGTTTTAATTCAAGCACACTACTTCAGTGCTAACCTATAGGTATCTCATAATCAAAGACAATGCAAAATATACCTCCACCATATTACTATCCGATTGTCAACACGTACGTTTATCATAGTCTAACTTTCTCTATCCCTGTATGTGAAAAATTGAAAATCATTAAATCTCTCTTCTAGAGAGAGAGAGAGAGAGACATGACTAAAGAACAAGAGTGAGCTACGTCTAAGTCTACCATGCCATCTACTTAAGATCTACATCAATAAAACAGTGACTAAGAACTCAAAAATGGAAGGGGGGGAAAGCTTAAGAATCAGAATTCCTCTGTTCTTAATACGGAAGGGGAGTAAATGATGTGAGCCTGTGGAGTACGATGGATAAGCCTTCCCAGAAATCATGGGGAAGAAAAATGAAGGATTAAACTAAATGATGAGAGATTGTGAAAAGAAAGAGAAGTAGGATGAGCTGAGCAATGTGATTAAAAGAGAGAATAAATGATGTGTTAAATTAAGATATAGTCAACAACATTTCACAAATTTAAATTTCACAAACATAAGTATTTTACCTGAGCAGAGAAGACGTGGGTATGTGGAATAATTTCCTTAGAGGATAGGATATTTAAATGAGATACTTTTTCATTATGCATAGTTTTCAGGAAAAATCTTTTAAAGTAGTTTCCCATAATTTTAGAAAGTTAGATAAAACTCTCATAAATTCATACCGAAGAGACTATAAATGAGTGTCTAATCAAACCATATGAATTATTTATGAGATTTTATTTAATCAGATGGAATTCTAAATGTTATATGAACTAAATTCTAACTCTCCTACTGATAGTAACCAAATTTGCAATTTCTCCAATTTTCCTATAATAGTAAAACTAAATGGAATCATAACTGGTTATGCATTGCATATACTATCTATCATGATATCATAAACACTTTAGAAATCTATAATTTGATAGGGCACTATAGAGGAATTGGTGTTTCATGATTATGATTATGATTAGGATAGAATAAACAATGTTGGAAGGAAATCACACATTACTAATTAAGAAGATGGTCATGAGTTTATAAGCAATAAATATATCTCTATTGGCAGAGTGTTTTGGAGAAATCAAAAGTAAAACTACGAGAACTTATGCTCAAAACGGACAAAATCAAACTATTGTGTAGGCCATGATTTCTAACCTGGATATGGTCCACACACCGAAGTGGAGAAAAGATAGGCGTGAAAACAGAATTAAAGAAAGTAAACATATCCATGCCCAGCTGATGTAAAAGGTCGTTCTGTTTGAAAGAGTGGCTCCCAACTCACAACGGACACTTGCCCAAAGTCTTGGAATATGCACACACATACACACCCTAAATTCAACTACAGCTTTGAGCTACTTCTACTAAGCCCCTAAACGAATTTTTTAAAGAAAAAAGAAGCCAAAGAAAGAGAAAGTTAAGCGGCATCGCATTGATTTGCATTGGTTTGAGTTTTTTTTTTTTGGTTTGGAGCTTCTTCCTTGGCCCCATCTCCTCCCTCCTCGATACCCACTCCTACCTCTCCCCTCTCAATCCTTCTCACAGACATTTTCACAAACACGCGGACTTCGAGACGCACAGCAGGACAAATCCTATCTTAGACATTTTCTCCTTGTTAATGAATTTTCACCAGATCTCTCTCTCTCTCTCTTTTCCTCTCTATCTAGTTCCAATTCCATATATATCACAGAAATAGATCGCTTCCACCTTCCAAATTCCTAATTATACTACGGCTTAAACGTAAAAATGCAGAAGAATCACATACCTGAGGCGAACGAGAAGCGGCGGAAGTTCTTAATCAACGACAATCTCGACATTCTCATCGAAATTCTCAAGCGGCTAGACGGACCGTCACTCGGCGTCGCCGCCTGCGTCTGCCGCCTCTGGTGCACAATCGCTCGAAACGAATCAGTTTGGGAACATGTGTGCTTCCGGCACGTGACATCGCCGCTTCCCTCATCGGTGAAATCAGTGGTCGCCGCACTGGGAGGATACAAGCGGCTATACATGGTGAGCATAAGGCCGGTGCTGAGTCGACTCGGATACTCAGAAGTGGTGAGGCGAGTTTGGACTCAGGACGAGGTTCAACTTTCACTGTCTCTGTTTTGTGTGGATTATTACGAACGGCTCACTGGGAGTGGAAGACTCAGTGGCGATGCGTCCGCATTGTCCCTCATGTTCCTCTGCAACACCGTGAACGTCTGATTGATCTCGTGGTTTTTTGATACTTTCTCCACCGTTGGATTTGTAGACCAGTCCATATAAGAAATCAAGCAAGCTCCGGTGATTTTAGTCAAAGGATTAAGATTAGCCTGGTATGAATATGATAATTATTCCAATTATACATCCATTTTATTAAAATGAAAATAACAGTTCCATTATTTTCAACATTTTCTTTATTGTTTGATTTATTTTATGTTATTATTATTATCTAAATATTGTTGTAATGAAAAGAAAAAAAAAAAAACAAATTTTGGGTTGAATAATATTTATATTTTATTGTTTCCATGGTTACTTGAAAATTAAAAAGGCCCAATCCATCAATAATTCTCCCTACTCTCTCACACACACCACACATGACCACCCTCACTAGGTAGCACGGATGGCTCGTTAGATGATCCCGACATGACCATATTATCTACTTGTTTTTTAGAATTACTTACTATTGTTTCCAACAAGTATGATCGAGCCACCACAAAAGAATTGCATATTTTGGGGCATTCTCTGTATCTACTCGTGAGAAGTTTCCACGTTCAATGTGGGATTGTCCACTTTGGGCTTCCCCTCAAGTTTTTTTTTTATTAGGGAGAGTTTTCACACTCGTGGAGTTGTCCACTTTTAGTTTCCTTTTGGGCTTCCCCCTCAATGTTTTTGGACTCTTCTTCATTACATATCTACTCGAGTGAGGTTCACACTTTCCACACCCGTATATTATCGACTAGACCTATTGCTTTGTTCATATAACAATCCATGCTCAAGATTTGAACTAGACTCAGAATGAAATTTAACTTCATCCCCTATGACATGATTACTTACACCATGTTTATCGGAGGAAAAATGAAATCAAACTTGTAATCTGGTTATTTATGGTGGAGTGAAAGATTGGAACAACTTTTTACGATGATCAATGTCTTAATCTATGCGGCGTTCGAAACAATCCGATTATGAAATATATGAAATATAATAGAGTTATAAAACGATCGAAACGAGATGTTGTTAGTAGAAACTAAAATCTTAAGATGCAATATAACATAAAATCAGCCCTCTTCCCATCTATCAAAAAAAAAAAAAAAAAAAAAAAAAAAAAAAAAAAAAAAAAAAAAAAAAAAAAAAAAAAAAAAAAAAAAAAAAAAAAAAAAAAAAAAAAAAAAAAACAAACAAAACAAAAGCAAAGCCTATCGTAATCGAAACCGAAACGATTGTTCGAAATTTAATCTGTTATTCTATAAATTATTGTCGAAGTATGTGTATCATCGTAGTCGTCGTCATTGTACGTGAGATGCAAATGGGGTATCTGGTTCACTAAATCCTTCTGTGCTGCATGATTTAACACACAAAACCAGAAAAACTACAGAAACATAAGTTTTTGAGTTAAGGCTTTTTTATTTCACAGACCTGTCATCATGATGGTCAGTCCAAGAATCTGGGAAGTCATGTGGCTGCTCAGTAGATAAACAAAACTCTGCACTGCACCAACAGATTCCACGTTCTTTCAAAATTAAAAAGCTGATGAATGAGCCAAATTCTGAGATGAACAGCCCAAAGTGGAAGAATTCTGTCGAACACTCTGTTCAGAAATTTCATTGCGTTTTGGAGAATCATCGGCTAAGATTATCGAATTCTTCCCATGGAGCCTGAAAATGGCAATTTGTAGAATTAAAAAGTGGGTTTAGTTTTGTTATTTATGAACAGAGTACCACAAACAAAGAACAGAGTAGCAGAAACAGAGAACAGAGAACAGAGAACAGAGCAATGAACCCGTCAAGAACACGAATGCGGCTCAACAGAGCAAGCAGCCGCGTGAGGCTAAGCCCAGTCTTCGAAAGATACCCATCGCCGAGAAGACTGCGCCCATACCGCTCACGATACACCATCGGCAAAGCCGCAATCAAAATCGGCAGCCCACCACGGGATTTCAGAAGCTCGACAATCTCGATTTCGAGTTTATCCAGCGCTCTCCCACTAAGCACCACAACACGCGGCTCCTTCTCCACAACATCATGAACATATCGGCAAGTATTCCCATGTTTGCAATACCCTTTACTGAAATAATGACAAACTTTCACCGGAAACTCCCTCCGGCGGCTTCGCCTCACCGGAGTTGCCGAGTCCAGCGACAGCCACTGCATCTGGTTCTGCAGGGCGAAGTCGGAGAACGTCTGGTGGGGGAGGAACAGGCGGGAGGATGGAGAAGAAGAAACACGACCGTATGGAATTGGAACTTCGGGGATTCCGAGGTCGGATTTGGCGGTGTTAATAACACATTGAATTATACCATCCGGGCTGAACGCCAATCGGATCATGTCCTGTTCGTTGGTGTTCAGCATAACGTAGCCGACGATCTTCAACCCATATTCAGGCTCCAATTTGCAGATTCTTTCGTACACAATTTTCGTCGTTTCGTTATCCATTTGAACTGAAACACACAGAACAAGAACAGTAGAATGAGAATTTTGACGAATTTAAGGAACAAGAAACAGAGCAATGGAGGATTTTGTTTAGAGAAGATGATGGAATGGAAGGGATTGGGTTTTAAAGGCGCTTGATTTAGCTTAAATTAGCCTAATTAATTATTTAATTATAAATAATCTCGAATTTAAATTCTACGATTTCTCTTTAAAGATCACATCGAAAAAGCAATATATATAATTTTTTTTGGGTTTTTCTCACTGTTTTTTAATTTTTTAATTTGTTTTATTAATGTATTTATTTAATTTGTTTTGTTTTGTTTTTTTCAAATTACAGGTTGTACTTATTTACAGAAAATCGCGGGAAATTCTGAGAAATGCGCCGGGATTTCCGAAAGCAGGCACTACCGGCGAAATGACTGATTTACCCCTCTCTCAGCAATAAAAAATCCCACGTGTGCCCGGAATTTAAAAAATATATATATACGAAAACGCACCGTTTCGGTTGGGTCCCACTTTGACCTTTTCTAGAATGGGCGTCGCCACGTATCATGAAGTAGCCACGTTTATTCCTATTGGTTCCACGTCATCCAAATTTCTATCCTACCTGGCAGGTCCTTGGTGGAAAATTAATTGTGGCCGACTTTTTGGTCTTTTTATTTTTCCCTTTTTGCCAGCAAATAATCAACAACACAGCAGGAACCCCACTGGCTTATTTCCACGATTATTTTTAAAAAAATTATTTATATTAAATAAACTTTTTTTTAATATTTTATTTATTAAAAGAATATTTCTTTTTAATTTTTTTAAGCATTAGAAGAAAATCTTTGAAAAAGGGAAGGATCCAGTGCTTCGCGAGCTGGAACCAATCAAATTGTGGGCCACAGTCAATATAAGGCAAAGGGTAAAATGGGTATTACGCCAAACCGCTAGGGACTTAAACGTAAATAACACAGCAAAATGGGGTTGAGTGGTGAGAGCAGTTCAAACGGCAGATAAAGAGGGAAGGATTAACGGTCACCGTCAAAGTTCGATCTAGAGATGAGTGATGGACGGACGTTTAAGGCTCTCCCCGTTAGATTAGTGCTTTCCCGTAAAGCCACCTGGTACCGAAGATATCAGTAATGGAGAGAAATTTTAGGGTACGGTCGAGTGCATGGAAGCTTCAGTAGATACTATAACATATAAAATAATTATAGAAATTCTTTATTTGTTGTTAAACATATACCCACTAAATTTCAGCCGATGCATACCTTAGGTTACAACTTTGAATGGGCCACTCCTACAAAAACCGGCCCAGTTATTGAAAGTCGGCCCAAAAGTGGAATCTTATTGGGCTTTGTGCCACTCCAATATTCCAAAACCGGCCCAGTTATTGGCAGTCGGCCCAAAAGCGGAATATTATTGGGCTGGCTTGATTCTTCTACGGAGCTTAGAAAGTTCCGGTAGCGGAAGGGTGAGGGAAGGCAAGTTTGCGGAACGTTGTCATTTGGAGAATCGCAGAGGGGGATGACGAGAACAGGGCAAATTTGATTCTACGAGAGATAGGAAATTCGATTCAGGATTCCGGTTTTGTTACTGATCTCATAGCAAATTGTGATTGTTTGTTTGATTTGTTGATGTATTAGAGAGATTCAACGATTACTCAAATAGCAAGTGAATCGAGGAAGGGAAGATGTATCAAAGGAGGAAGTTCGAGTTCTTCGAAGAGAAACTAGCCGGAAGGTGCACAATTCCGGAAGAGGTGAGGGAAAAGAAGATCGAGTGTTGTTCGAGCGGCAGAGGGAAGGTGGTGATCGGTTGCAATGACGGTAGCGTTAACCTACTTGATCGTGGGCTTAAGTTCAGCTATGGATTTCAAGCTCATTCCTCGACCGTATCATTTTTGCAACAGCTCAAGGTTGGTAATTTCTTTTTCAGCTGTTTTTTCCTTCGGGCAATTTGGATTTTGTGCTGCTTCAGCGTGTCTTTGGTTGAAACGGATGCCAATTTGTCAAATGAACTATGTTAAGTACTTTGACCTTTGAACTGCTATCTAAACGTTGCCTTTTCTTTCTTTAATCAGCACCACGAGTCTGTTGCATTATGAATCTAACTTGTAGATTTGTTTTCCCTTTCTTCTACTATGTAATGATTTTAATATATAAGGACCCGGAGATAGGATTGTTGATAATATGTCATTGACATGGATTACGTTTGTATCTTTTGATTGATGATCAGCAACGGAACTTTCTAGTCACTGTTGGAGAAGATGTGCAAATACCTCCGCAACAGACTATGTGTCTGAAGGTTTTTGACCTTGATAAAATTGAGCCAGAGGGCTCAAGTGCTACAAGTCCCGAGTGCATTGGAATTTTGAGGATATTTACTAATCAATTTCCCGAGGCAAAGGTACTGTTGTGCTTTCATTTTATTCAGACAGTATCCTGTTTTATGGGGTTGCTTTATAGGCTTGACATTTTGAACCATGATTGTTCGTTCTTTGTTTCATTGGAAGCAATTTCCTGATAATGATGGAATTATGAGACCTATGAGCTTACTACTGCAGATAACATCATTTTTGGTCCTAGAAGAGGCACCGCCAATACTACTTATTGCAATTGGCCTAGATAATGGTAATATATACTGCATCAAAGGAGACATTGCACGAGAACGTATCAATCGTTTCAAGCTTCAGGTAGACATCTCAGACAAGAATCAATCATCCATCACGGGGCTCGGGTTCAGAGTTGATGGTCAAGCTCTTCAGTTATTTGCTGTAACTCCTGATTCAGTGAGTTTATTCAGCCTGCAGAGTCAACCACCAAAGGGGCAAACTCTGGATCATATTGGATGTGGTGTGAACGGTGTTACAATGAGTGATCGCTCAGTATGTAGTTCTAATCTCTCCTATATCTCATTTGCCATGTCATTGTGTTGATTAATGTTCTTTCATAATGATAACGATTACTGTGTTTTATGTAATAGGAGTTGATAATTGGTCGTCCTGAGGCAGTTTATTTTTATGAGGTCGATGGACGTGGTCCCTGCTGGGCTTTTGAAGGAGAAAAAAAGCTTGTAGGTTGGTTTCGTGGATACCTTCTCTGCGTAATTGCTGATCAAAGAAATGGCAAGAACACTTTCAACATTTATGACCTGAAGAATCGACTGATTGCCCATAGTCTAGTAGTTAAAGACGTTTCTCACATGGTTTGTGAGTGGGGTAGTATTATACTTATAATGGACGACCAATCGGCTCTATGTATTGGGGAAAAGGATATGGAAAGCAAATTGGATATGCTATTTAAAAAGAATTTGTACACCATAGCTATTAATCTTGTTCAAAGTCAACAAGCTGATGCTGCTGCAACTGCAGAAGTGCTAAGAAAGTATGGGGATCATCTATACAGCAAGCAAGATTATGATGAGGCTATGGCCCAGTATATCCATACTATTGGACATCTCGAGCCCTCTTATGTTATACAGAAATTTCTTGATGCTCAGCGAATCTATAACCTCACTAATTACCTGGAAAATTTGCATGAGAAAGGGCTTGCGTCTAAAGATCACACCACACTTCTACTAAACTGCTACACCAAATTGAAAGATGTTGAAAAGCTGAATGTATTTATTAAGAACGAGGATAGTGCTGGAGAACATAAATTTGATGTCGAGACTGCAATTAGGGTTTGTCGTGCTGCCAATTACCACGAACATGCCATGTATGTTGCTAGAAGGGAAAGAAAGCACGAATGGTACCTTAAGATCTTACTTGAAGACCTTGGAAGATATGATGAGGCCTTGCAATATATTGCAAGCCTCGAGCCTAGTCAAGCTGGCGTGACAATTAAAGAGTATGGGAAGATTCTAATCGCACACAAGCCACGTGAGACAATTGATATTCTCATGAAGCTCTGCACTGAGGATGGTGAATCATTGAAGAAAAGATCTTCAAATCGCACATATTTATCTATGTTGCCATCTCCTGTTGACTTTCTCAACATTTTTATTCATCACCCACAGTCACTTATGGAATTCTTTGAAAAGTATACAAACAAGGTAAAGGACTCACCTGCTCAGGTTGAAATTAACAATACACTGTTGGAATTGTACCTGTCAAATGATTTAAACTTTCCATCAATGTCCCAAGTTGGCAATGGAAGAAGTAATAGTTTTGTGGAAAGATCAGAAGCCACATTGATGTCAGCCGAGTCCAATACGAAAGTAAGCTTTGAGGACCGGCTTGAAAGGCAAGAGAAGGGACTACGCCTGCTTAAGAGTGCATGGCCATCAGAACTGGAAAATCCTCTCTATGATGTTGATCTTGTGATTATTTTGTGTGAAATGAATGCGTTTAGGGAAGGTCTTATGTATTTATATGAAAAGATGAAACTCTACAAGGAGGTTATAGCATGCTATATGCAAACTCACGACCACGACGGTTTAATTGCTTGCTGTAAAAGATTGAGCGATTCAGGAAAGGGAGGTGACCCATCTCTTTGGGCAGATTTATTGAAGTACTTCGGCGAACTGGGAGAAGATTGTTCCAAAGAAGTGAAGGAAGTTTTGACCTATATTGAAAGGGATGATATTTTGCCTCCTATTATAGTTATTCAGACGCTGTCAAGAAATCCATGCCTCACACTTTCCGTCATCAAGGACTACATTGCGAGAAAGCTTGAACAGGAATCCAAGATGATTGAGGAGGATAGGCAAGCAATTGAAAAGTATCAGGTTCGTACTTATCCAATTCATTTTAAAGAATCCTTGAATGCTTGGTCAAAGTTAGCAAATGAAAAACATTTGGAAAATGACTTTATCACATACTAAACCAAAATCAGAAACAAGGCTGCTGGAATTAGCAATTTTCGTCTTTCTTACTGGAAATGGCCTAATTTTATTTGATGTAACTGGATGATATTAATTCTTGAAGCACTTCAAAAGATAAAACATAAATTAAAGATAATGATGAAAAGAAGTTATAGCTTCCACAACAGAACTACTTCGATCAGGGAACAAACGTAGAAAGACCTTTGTGAGTACATTTGATGAGCACCTGAAGCTTTCTCATTTATTCTACCTAAC